ATTGAACAGCAACATCAATGGTGGAGGTAGAGCTGAAACTTGCAAAGGAAATTGAAAGGCACTGTATTCACTGGCATGCTAAGTGGAGACCATCTTGGAAGATTTTTTTTTTTTTAAATCATTATTCCACTGTTTGTCACAGCGGAAGATGTAGGAAGCCTCCAGTTTTACATGCACCATATCACATGCATGTTGAAATTAAATGGGTATAGATCATTCATAGTATACCTGGGACTGGTTTCCATTTATTCACTGGGGCTCTGCTACACATGCACACGTAACTCCCATTGATTTCAAATGGTTAATGCCTGCCTGCAAGGTGTTTTATAAAAAAACCTTAGAGGAACCGAAAAATGTTGTGTGGAATAGTAGCACTTTAGAGACTCTTCGAGTACCTGGCACAATTATTTAGCGACAAGTTTTTTTTTGTTTTTTTTTAATTCATGAATATTATTAATTTGATTTTTTTATAATGCATTTCAAATCAAGTGGCGAACTCCAATCTGACTACACCTATAATCAAAACAGTAATACATCGCAACAGATTTTTGAATTAAGATATAGATGGTGCAACAATCCCAGATTTCTAGGCCTTCACGTACATTGATACAGAAGAAACATGTTTTGTTTTTTTGTTTTTTTTACCCTTTCTTCTAATGTCCAAGTGATCCATGAAGATTTTTCTTTAACAATTCCCTAGCTTGTTTGAGTCTAGTTCTGCAGTATCTGGTATATTTAAAATGAGTGGCAATTCATTAGAACTCCATTTATATCTTCTGTTTCACCAAACCACTTCCTAGCATTTCAGTAAATGTAACTGTAGTCACAGTGCTCCTCATGTTTATTCTTAGGACTCAAAGAAATTATCCATTAACAATAAATTCCCTTTGACTCCGGGTGGCTGTATGAGCCTCTCCAATTACTTTTCTTAAATAACCCTGTAAAATGGTAACATGCTATGCCTGTCTTTGGTGTCTGAAGATTTCGTTTAAGGCTTTGAGAATAAATCATTTGCTGTAGTTTGTTTTTTAAAGTGAATTTATGCATATTAGGATGTTGTGCTAATTTGAGAAGATAAGTGAATGGCTTAATGCGGGGCAATACACCTAATATATCCTACTAATGTTTTAAGAACATGAAAAAAAATAGGTTTATTATTGAATGAGACACATGGAGGTAGAGAATGAAACACATAAAAGGAGGGGCTGGGGTGGAATGAGAAACTGGGGGCTGGGGGAATTAGACATTGGGTACTAAGGGAATGAGACACATGCTGGGAAGGGAATGAAACACATAAATGGAGGGGCTGGGGTAAATGTAATGAGGCACATGGGGGCTGGGGTAATGAGACATGGGGGGGCTAAAAGAATGAGACACACGGGGGGCTGCGGGAATGAATTTGTTTTTGTTGAATACTGCAATAAATGTTATTGCGACTTTTGAATATTTCTACATTTTAATATGAGACTCTTACAGACACGACGATTGGCCACCCTTGATTTATGGTATGAACAGTTGTTGTTCATCAATACAATCAAATATAGAAATTGAAGTATGTGCATACATACGATCGAAAACGCAGTTGACATTTATTATTGGGGTAATAATATACCTAAAACAAGGTAGCTGCACATTTGTAAGTAGAGGCAGTAGTGCATAAAGAGCTACACTTAAAAAAGGTTGATACCACTGGTAATTAGATGTTTAACCCACAGAGTAACTGCTGAGATATTTATACAGGCAAGTGAACGCAATACTCTGAAACATAAAAGGCAAAAGAAAAACTGTACCCTGCTCATCTCGTGGCCCTTCTCTGACTAATATCATCCCACTCTCAGGCTTTAAAAATAGTTGCCAAAAAGAGACACAGTCCCCATCATCCATAGTAATTCACTCCAGAGACCTCGGCCTCAGAGAGAGTCTGTATACGATGCAAACTCATTTGGCTACCTCTGGCGCCTTGATCTGTGGTTTGTAAGGAAGGTGTCAGTTGTAGATCCTCCTAGGTTATGAGCCATGCACCAGAGGGGCACCCCTGAAGGCTCTTAGCTCGAGTAGATGCAGTCCTGTAAATCAAACACGGCGTGGCAACCTTCCAAATTCTCTTGGAGCAAGTAAATACTAGAGCCTTGGTCCCTGCCTGGGGAATAACATCTGTAGATTGTGAGACATTCTGCAGTTGACTCCGAGTTTGGGTATGGTCCTTCTCTTTTATCTCAGGCAGCTGCCGTAGTCGGCTTAATCTTCTCTTAAAAACTGCAAACAGCATGTCCAGCCAAGTCAGTGTAGTATATGGCAGGTCTCTGTTTGTAGAGGAGCATGTGATATCCGCCATCTTAGTGAAATCTGTACACCAGACAACGTGTCACTCCAACGATAAGAGGGCCTCAACGTTACCAGCGGTGGTTGGAAAGGCTCAAGAGTATGGTGCCGGAAATAACGCTCACGGGCAAGGACTCCATACTGTGTCTGCTTACTTCTGGACGGCTGATAGTGGAGAGATTGTTCGCTTCTTCCACTCTCCTTCTGTCAGGAAAGCCTGAGATAGACCTCTAGAACCCCCAGAATGAATCTGCCCAGAATATTCATAAATGTCTGGATCAGTGCACTTGCAGGTATATTGGTTATCCTCATTAGTGAGTTTCCAGTATCTCTGGTGAAAAGTCATCAAAAAGGACAAAATATAGCTTTATTATGCTGAGCTCTATTAAGATGCGACCGATCAGCAAGGCAGTCAGGCCCCACCCCCAAGGATGATGTAGCTGGAAACAGGTGAGATTAGATGACCAAGAGAAAACATGATATTTTGTTTAGAAGTATTGGAATAATGGCTTCTACTCATCCTTTACCTTAACAAGCCCAGCACTTTAGATGTCCTTCCTTTAATTTCAGGAATGCCCATTAGAAACCCATATAGTGATAAGTGAGATTGTGATCTGTGGACTGGCATTACTAGTTCAGCTTGTTAGACATAAAACTGCCTATTTGTTGGAACACATTTAAGCCTTCTATTGCATTTTGTATTTATAGCATCCAAATAATTTGAAGCACTGAACAATGGCTGGGTAAAATAGACATTTGTCACAAAACAAGTTCAGTATAGAGGAACAAAACGTTACAAGGGCATAAGTTAATCAAACTTACAAAGAACCAGGGAATAATTACAGAAAATGAAATTTAAAATGTGCTGTATAAGAAGGACTGCTTGGTGTACAACTATGTAAACCAGTAAATGACTTGGACAGAAGGGATGTTAAAAAGAGATGGAATGTTATCGGATGAGACATTAATTGGTTATTTGGTGTGCCTTCCTAAAGAAAAGAGGTTTTCAGCATTTCTGAAAGGATAAGAGAAACTTGGTTGACAAGAACAATTGGTATTTCATAAAAATCGAGTTGACTGAGCTTTAATTTAAAACAAAAGCAACACATTTAAATATTGAACTTGATATGATGACAAAAAGAAAGGCTCACACATACCACTCAAGGGTTTTAGTTAGCTGAACACTAACTGCACTTCAATATATTGCCTTCATGACAACATACTTATAACAAAGCCACCTCAACTCTGACGATGATCTGCAGTTCCTGAGCTTTTTGATAATGCTAGGCTGAATAACAAGTGAATAGATATATTTTCTTAAATCTTTCTTGAAGGGATACTCCAGACTTATAAAGCACGTTAGCTTGCTGAAAAGCCTTATGTGTGAAGAATGAGGTTAACACAGTAAGGGAGTTTAAGCATGCGTGGGATAGGCATAAGGCTATCCTAACTATAAGATAAAGCTAGGGACTAATGAAAGAATTTAGAAAATTGGGCAGACTAGATGGGCCGAATGGTTCTTATCTGCCGTCACATTCTATGTTTCTATGTTTCTAATGTGCCGTCTTTTTTTCATTTTACAAAAAGTGCAGATTTCAGTAGCAATTAACACTTTTAAAAATTAACCTGGTTACACCCTCTTGGCTTTTAAGCAGACAACATGTCCTGTTACTTCCTGGTTTGGTTAGCTCAGTGGAGCTAAACTCAAGAGGCAGCATCTGCCCAGAACACCTGCCTTGCAAAGACTTCTCATTGAGCTGTATTAAGAAGTCTGTAATAATTGGACAGCCACAGAAAGTCTGAGAGTGGTTAGAAGGGGAGGCTGTCGAAGACTTCAGACAAGAGAAATGCAGATTTTGCAAGAGGTTTTTAGGTATAACCCCAATTAAAAAAATGCATAATAAATGCATGCATATTGTCATTGTGGGTACATCTACTAAAGTATTTTTTTTTGTTTGGGCAGTGTAGTGTCCATTAAAGTTCTTTAAACTGAAAAATGCATGAGTGGCAGTCTGAGATTAAAGAAATCAAACTTCTTTATTCAGCAGTAACAGTGCCCTGTCTATCTTTCTTGGCAAAAGAACAGGTCGATAATGAGTTGCAGGGTATCAAGAAGACTACATTTGTGATTATATGTGGTTTTACAGTGCAGTGCATATTTGATTGCTATAATTAATATTTTTGTTATGCAAATATGTTTACACAATTTACAGACACAGGGTTATACACTAAAGTCTGGAATTCAGAGTGAATTTAGTGTGAAGTTCAAAATGTTGGCCCCAATAGCCAAAATGGAAAAATGTAGCTGAATCTAAATTTACATTTTAGTGAAAAATCCTGATATTTGTTTCTCCTCCCTTCTATTTTGGACAGGTTTCAATATTGGTGTTAGGTTGTTTAATTGTTTCCTTCTACTTTTATCACCACAGTGAATGTGTGCAGGTCAATGTTACCTCCAGAGCCACCTACACTTCCATGAGCCATTTTCTAGCAATGAGTCTGTGTCACAGAACCATGTTTTGTTTTTTTGTTTTGTTACAACCTGTGAAGAAAATGAAGGTGCATCTGCCTACTAGGATACCAATGTTAACTACCACAGAGAAATTACACTTTAAACTAACATCTTTAAATAGCTGAATTGAAATGTATTTTAAAAAAAATACTTTTAATCTGTAAGCATGCTTCCTACAGCAAGCCTCCTCGCGGGGTATGCTCCAGAAAAAAATGAAATGTCAGCTGTTCACTGTCAAAGAAGATTCCAAGAAACCCAGATTGGTTTCTATTTCAAAACAGGAACGATACAATCCAGCATGCAAGTACCCAATATGTCAATTTACGTCAACTGGAATATCTTGCGTTGGTAGGCGAGGCAATTAAGTTCTTGAAGAAAAAAAAAATGGAACAATTTTACAGCAATAAGAGTTGTAGAAACGTAAAGGGACAAAAACAACTGATGTTGTGGCCATAACTACTAAATAGAGTTTGCAACAGTATTCCCCGGTATTCACACTATGTACGTCTTTAAACAATAAGACACATTGGTGTGAGTATCATTGCTGTGGAGCTCTGTTATAAACCCAGACACACAAACAATATGGAGTTCCTGGAAAAGAGGGACATTATTATAAAAAGGGGTGATTTGGGACCAAAATAGGGACTGTTTCTTATAAATAGGGAAGTATGCAGATTAATGTTTTTGTCATTTGCACTTGGAATTGTACATGTTCAGGATGCTTTCACATGTCAAACTTCTTATACTTTGTGTATTAGTGTGTGTGCACTAGCACTAGCACACACAGAGATCTTTAGGAAGCATTTACAGTCTAAGAGATGAAAGCACCTGTTACTGCTATAAAAATATACATTTACACGTATTAAGCTTGTGGTTTAACAGTCCGTTTAAGGATATCTCTATGTTTAACGCTCATTCAGTGTCTCCTTTTCTAATGATACCGCCTCCCTTCATCATGTCTCGATTGGAGTCCCCCAGGGCTCTGTCCTTGGTCCCCTTCTATTTTCTCTTAAACTGTCTCTCTTGGCAAACTTATTACCTCATTTGGATTCCAATACCACCTGTACGCTGATGACAGTCAGATATACTTCTCCTCCCCGTACCTCTCCTGTGCTGTCCTGCAACGTGTCGCTGCTTGCCTTTCTTCCATTTCTGATTGGATGTCCTGCTTTTTAAAACTCAATCCCTCTAAAACTGAACTCCTTGTCTTTCCTCCTCCTAATATTGATCCCCCTTTTTCGCTCTCCCTTCAAGTGAGTGGTGCCCACATCAGTCCATCCTTGCAAAAGAGCTGTCTTGGCGTTCTACTTGATTCTGAGCCTCACATCCAGTCTGTTACCAAATCCTGTAGATTCCATCTTAAAAACATAGCCCGCATCTGCCCCTTTCTTACACAAGATGCTTGTAAGGAGTTTGTCCATGCTCTAGTAATCTCTTGCATGGATTATTGTAACTCTCTCCTAATGGTTCTTCCCACAAGTCATATTGCCCTGCTACAGTCTGTAATGAATGCTGCAGCCAGACTGATTTTCCTCTCTAGTCGGTCCTCTCACACCTCTCCCCTCTGTCAGTTCTTACATTGACTTCCTGTATCCTATAGGAGTCCATTCAAGGTACTAATCCACACCTATAATGCAATGACCAATTCTAGCCCCTCCTAAATTTCTTCACTGATCCACAGGTATGCCCTTTCTCGGTCTCTCCGCTGTGCCCGTGACCTTCTCCTGTCTCCTGTTCGCACCCGTACAGCCAACTCACGCTTGCAGGACTTCTCGCTGGCTTCTTTCCTTTGGAATAGCCTGCCCACGACCATCAAGCTCTCCCCTAGTCTTCAATCATTTAAAAAGTGCCTCAAAACCCATCTCTTTAGGAAAGCTTATGGCCTCCCAGAGTAACCTCTACCTCACATACCTGTCCCTTGCTCTCTCCTAAAGGGCAGCACTCTATTCTCTCCTCCAGCTCTGCTTCACTCCCACCTTGCTTGATTGCCAACTCCTGTCCTGTTGGGTTTTACGCCCCACCTCCTATAGACTGTAAGCTCTTGTACGTTTTTGTAATTGTCTCATTTATTGTTAAATCTCCCCCTTTGATAATATTGTAAAGCGCTACGAGATATGCTGGTGCTATATAAATACCAGTAATAATAATAATAATAATAATAAGAGAGCTGACCCTGAGACATTTGAAATGCAAGTTGCTCCTTTACACTGATTTTACATACTCCGTGCAAAGAATAGCTAGAACATCCTTCTAAATGCTTCATATACAGAGTTTTGTCAGATAACTTAGAGTGTGTGTATAGTAAATGTTCCTCCATTTTGACAAATTCAAATTTTGTCCTTTGTTTAAATATTCTTGCTATTTTGCATATTTTCTGTTCTGACCTTGCATTGGGACTTTAGATTAAAATTATATAAAGTTAAATCTCTCTCTCTATATATATGTATGTGTGTATATATATATATATATATATATATATATATATATATATTTATAGTTTTATTTTTGATGCTCCTGTTCCCATTGAAGGCACTTTCGGCAGTGGATGAGTCATCATGGGCACTCTGGTGTGCCTACCCAGCCCCATATGCTGCAAACTGAGATGCATATGACACCTTACTATCATGTGTTTTGACACCTTTATATTATGGCAGCCTTAAATTTTTTAGCAACTTGAGCTACAGTAGCTCCTCTGTGTGATCGGAGGGCGCCCATGACCTTAATGCCGGTTGAACAGTTGTCCATCCTTGCACTACTTTTGTTAGGGTAGGTACTAACCACTGCATACTGAGAACATCCCACAAGACTTGGGGTTTTGGAGATGCTCTGACCCAGTCCACTAGCCATTACTTTTTGGCCTTGTCAAAGTCACTCAAATTATTTTGGCTTGCCCACTTTTCCTGCTTCCAACACATGAAATTCAACAACTGACTGTTCAATTGCTGCCCAATATATCTAATCCCTTTTACAGGTGTCATTTTAACAATATAATGTTTTTTACTTCACCTGTCAGTGGTTTCAATGTTGTGGCTGACCAGTGTGTATACATACAGTGAAACCTTGGAACTTGAACTTAATCCGTTCCAGAAGGCTGTTCAAGTTCAGATTTGTTTGAGAACCGAATCAACATTTCCCATAAGCATTAATGTAAATTTAATTAATCCATTCCAGACCCCCAAAATTACAGCATTTTAACACAAATTGTAAAGTTTAATAATGCCTTACATGCATAAAATCATATTGAAAAAAATAATAAACACAATGTACAATAAATGAAAAGAAAATGTAACTTCACTTTACCTGTAATGATGAGAGTTGATGGCGTAAGTGTTAAGGAGAATAAATATTATTGGTTGGATGAGGATAGGTAATTTAAATGTGTCTAAAGTGAGACATAGCTTTATAATTGAACATGTTTGTGGCATGATTTGTTCCGGTACCGAGAATTGTTCGTGTACTGAGACATATTTTTTTTCCTCACATTTTTTGTTCGACTACCAAATTGTTTGGGAAACAGACTGTTCGAGTTCCGAGGTTCCACTGTGTATATGTATGTGTGTATATATGTATATATATATATATATATATATATATATATATATAGTGAATATGTACATGAGTGTGAGTGTGTACGTGTCTGTGTGTGCTGGGTATAGGCCTTCATGAATATCCTGTAACTCTTGAATGGAAATTCAGGCATTCTTTATATCAATACTCCCCCGTTCTAGCACCATTTTCTGCACAGTTTGCTTGGGTTTTTTTTTTCTATCTCTTCCTCCTCACTCTGTGATCTTCGCATAAGATATTTATGACCCTCTGCAAGAATGGTGTCTATGTTCTATCAAACCTGTGTCTTATCTGCACTCATGTCGCTTTAACCCCTGTATCACAACTCAACTTTGAATTCTATGTGTCCCCTTGCACATAAATACTTCAGACTTGAGAAAGGGAGGTTCTCCTGAAAGCTTGTCACTAAAAAATTCCTGTTAGTCCAATAAAACAGATATTGTAAGATACACATTTTATGCTTTATTTTGCCTGTATTTGTGGGAGGGGCTTAAATTAATTCACTCCCCTATATAAGGGACACCCCTTACCTGACTCATATCGCTTGAGGTCAGCATCAGAATGACCCTCCCACCCACTCTTCATTTCAACACTTTCTCTTTTCTTTCCATTTACTTTACTTTCTTACTCCTTGGTGGGCCCTCTTTATTTACAGGCCTACCGTATCGTCGGTATCGGCACACCACAACCGACTTGCTCCCTTTACACTATCCTAAGCTTATGCTGGATCCTTACTCCATATACGGCTATTTTGCCCCTTACACAAATATTATTAGCATTTATATTATGCCAACATATTCTGTAGGGCAATTTTAGAAATGGGTTTATTAGAGGTAAAGAAGGCTCTGTTCAAATGAGCTTATACATGATGAGGATTTGAGGTAGGGAGATATATATCATTAAGTATCTTCCCAAGGACACTTATTGATGATGTGGTCTGACTGAGACTCTAACCAGCTGATATATTTGCATACACACAATGCCATGAGGAATGCACCCAATGTATCTGCATTACACTTGCCATAGTGCTAGTCTCCTGCCAATCTATATCCTCCAAGACGTAGTGTACTCACTGGTCTTTATAATGCATAATAATGTAGATTAATGTAAATTCCACGTATAGACCTATATATGGAATATTCATTAATAAACTACATTATTGTGGATTCCATTAAATGTGCTCCTTCTGGGAAGATATATACATAATAGTAAACATAAAATTACACATGACTTTATATATTATTTTCTCTTTCTTAGTCAAGCAAAAGCCCCATTTAGCTATTGCAAGAAAATACAATGCTATATTACGTAGGAAAACTGCCAAAAGTGATTTGTGAACACTTAAACCTTTAGTAATGAATATGTATGGAAATTTAAACAAACACTGATTCAATCTGTTTCTAGATTAGCATTGCTTTCAGGATATGTCCATGTATGGGCACACCAACATGTAGAAAACATGTCCGGTATCTGCATTTTAAAATTACATCCAACATGATGTAAAACATGTATGTATGTATATGTGTGTGTGTGTGTATATATATATATATATATATTGACTGAAGCATAGTTTAAAATTCCCTCTGGAAAAGCTGACCATATCTTAAATATATCTTTTGTATGTTTGCTTGTTTTTTGTAATTTTTTTATTTACTAGTTTGTTGGATTAGATGAGACTTCTGGCATAACAGATACTACAAAACAAGAAAGAACATATGATGTTTCTATAAATGACCTTATAAACACTTTAAGCTTGTACACACTGATGTTTATTTAAAATATTTACTTAAAAATACTAAATATCACACCACCAGTAATGGCACAGCTAAAAAGAAGGTTAAAGAGACACTTGTTCACCAAAACCACTTTAGCTTAATGAAGCAGTTTTAGTGTATAGATCATGCCTCTGCAGGCTCACTTCTCAATGTTTTCCCATTTAGAAGTTAAATCACATTTTTTATACAGCTCTAGTCACACCCAGCGGTATATTTACTGCGAGGCTGACAAGGCATTTGCCTTGAGCAGCACTTTCTGGGGGACGGCAAAAAATGCCGCCACCCAATCGCCCTGGCAAATGCCTTGCCAGCCTTTTGTCCTGGGGGGCCCAGGAGCTGGCCCGCTGGCCACCTCTTGGCCCCCCCGAGGCTGGCAGTGGTGGCACTTTCTGGGCGGGCAGCGAGGGTGCACTGATCCTCCCATTCAGCTCCCTCGCGCGCACCGCAGTGATGCTGGAGCCTGAATATGACGTCACTCCGGCCCCGGCATCACTACGCGCCACACAAGGGAGCTGAACAGGCTGGGGGGATTGAATACATTTTTTTTTTTTTTTTTTAAATGTGAGTGTGTTAGTGAGTGTGTATGCATGTCTGTTAGTGTGTGTGTCTGTTAGTGAGTGTGTTAGTGTGTGTCTGTTAGTGCGTGTGTTTGTGTGTGTGTCTGTCAGTGAGTGTGTGTGTATGTCTGTTAGCTAGTGTATGTGTGTCCGTCAGTGAATGTGTGTGTTTATTTTGTAGAAGGCGGGGCGGGGGAATTCCTGAGTTTTGTCATGCCTAGAGCAGCACAAAACCAGGATACACAACTGGTCACACCTCCCTGCATGTGGCTTGCACAGCCTTCCTAAACACTTTCTGTAAAGAGACATTTAATGTTTACACTTCCTTTATTGCACATTCTTTTCAATTTAGATTTTCTTGTCTTCTACTTTGTTATTAGCCTTCTAGACCCCGCAGGAGCCTCTTGTGTGTAATTGACGTTCAATTTACAATGCTGAAGATAAAAGCTTCTTAAGCCTGTTAACATGTGACTGAAAATGAAACCATGTTTTCACGTTGGCTTTGCCAGTCAGAGCCAGGAGAGGAGTGGCTAGGGCTGCATAAACAGAAACAAAAGTAATTAAACTCCTAAAATGGCTGAGAATTGAGCAGTGAGACTGTAGGTCATAATCTATACATGCTTACTGCTTCGTTAAGCTAAAGGTTTTTTTTTTTTTTTTTATGCCTATAGTATATGCCGTCATGTGGTGCAGTGCTTTAATGCCCAGTGACAGTATAGACCGTAAAAGTACCAGCAGGGGTTAAATACCAATCCCAATTGTTAAATCTCTGCTCACACCAGGAAACCCAGCTATCAACAGATACCTGGGGCTCCCCTCTGTCAGCTAGGGCCATTTTTAGTGGGCTCCATACTTTTTGATGAGCTGTATGCAGTGCTGAACATGTGGAGATGTTTCTGAGTATAGTTTACATACACAATGGACACGAGATGTAAAAAAACAAACAAAAAAAATACAATATATTGTAGTATATGTAAAAATTTAAAAATAAAAATGAATACCACAAACTTTGAAAAAGCACTTCAATAAAGCTCAAAATAGATGTTGTGTATGAAATGGTATGCATTTATTGAGTAATTTAAATATGTGAGCTATTAAAATGCCCCAAAATGCATCATGGACCCTCCTTTATATTGACATTTAAGAAAAAAAAAAAGCTGCAATGTGCAGGTAATATATTTGGATCTTTACAAAAATTTGACAAAGGTATATATACAAAGGTGGACTTTCTGTACTCGTGATATAGCTGAGCACAATTTAGTGATTTTTCTTACAGTAGCACATATCAAGTTTACACAATAAACTGCTAATTTGCAATGTGCATGTAAAGAAAGGCGAATATAAAATGCTATAAACCTTAAAAGAAGTTGGTGCTAAAATGGATATATAACAAGACACAATTCTGTCACAAACTTACCTTTACCGGCGCCCGCCCGCTCCTCTCCTCTGGCCACGCGGGCAGAACGCACCGCCTGGCCTCATGGCCTCAATCCTCGGGCCGCGTGGCCTGAATATAATACTTATATTCTATCCCACGAACGGCTCCCTCTGCTGGTTCATGGGACGAACTGCAACCCCTAAAAATAAAAGAAACAGCCATGATGTCATTACCTTAAAGGAACCACATCATCTAAGCGACTCAATGCTGTTTGGGCTCGCAGAGATGGCGTGGACCAATTGAAACTCTTTCAAGCCTATATAAGGTTTGTTTTAGCCTCCATTCTTTGCCCTATCGTGGTTTATGTGTGGATCCATGTTTAGTGCTCTTGTTGATTCCCTTGTTATTTCCTGTATTTGACTTCTGATTTCTGGTATCCTGACCCCATCTTCGTATTTGACTTCTGATTTCTGGTATCCTGACCCCGGCTTCGTATTTAACTCATGTATTCTGGTATCCTGACCCCGGCTTCGTATTTGACTTGTGATTTCTAGTATCCTGACCCCGGCTTTGTCTTGACTCTGAGTACTCCTGTCCTTAATTTATTTTGACCCTGTTTCTTGTTGTATTAATACGTTAAGTCCGGCCATTCTAAGGCTCGGTAAGACGTCTTTCGGATCCATCTTTTGTGGGTTTCCTCTTTCATGTGTGTTGGAGTACGACTCCCGTGACAAATATATACCATATGACATATCTTGTGGTGTCTACTTTCACAAAGCTATGTGTTTATGAGTATGTGTTTATTTTTTTATATCCTGGCTAGGGAAGGTGCTCCGGTCTTGGTGACTGGTAGAACTTTGGGGAGGGCATGGAGGGGCAGGGGCATTGGTACAGGAGCTGTTAGGGGGGTGGACTTCGCTTGGTTTCGAGATTAATACTTCACTCTAATCATTGTGTGATTTTATTGTGATGTTTACAATGTTTTTATAATAGTTATGTAATAACACTGTTTTAAAATAAGGAAAGCATACCACAGCACATATATTATACAAAACATATGTGAGGCCAATACACCTTCTCAGAGATCTGTGCATTAAAGGGTTACTCTAAACACCTTGACCACTTTATTGATTTGAAGTGACCATTGTACCCCTAGTCTATATGTGTGTTTAGCTATAAAACACTGATCTTATGGAGTTTAACCTATTTCCAACATCCAGCAGTGTCACTGAGGCGTAATTAGCCAGCCCAGGATAAGTGTTCTGGGTTGACTAATGTCAAATCTGTGCATATTTCAATGCAAATAGTTGCTTTCATTGGCTAAGAGTGGTATGTGGTATGCTGACGTACTTAGCCAATGAAAGACAGGTGAGATCAGCATCTAGATTCTACAGCTCCATGAAAGACCCATGTACCCATTGGTGACCTAGGTAAGAAGGCAAAACGTTTGCCCCATTACCGAGAAAAAGGGCAAGGGAATTCCTGCCATCATAACCACTACAGAGGGCTGTAATGGTTATGATGCTTGGTGTAACCCTTTAACGTTAAGCGAATTGCTGTATGGAAGGGATTTGAGTGCTGTAATCAAACTTTTAAACATTCTACTCTTTATCTCCAGCCTTGTCACTAAGGTAAACGTTTTTGGTTGCTAAAATGTTTTGCTTATCTAGACATTTTCACTGATGTGTTAGCATGGCTACCTTACAAAATGTTGTGTATGTGAAATTGCTAAAATAAAATGGCTTTCTCAGGGATTTTGACTTTACTTTTTGTGACATGTTTTGAACAAGCCCTTTAATAAATGAGGCATTGAAGACCATGGCTGCTCCTTTAGATTGCACGGTAGTTGAATTTCTGATTGATTGGTGCTAACGATCGCAAGGTTTCAGTTCAGTGACATCTGCCTTCTGTGCTCTTACTGGAACAAATTGTTTATCTCATCCTGTAGCACCTGTTTAAAAACTGGGAATAAAATCCGTTTACATAAACTGCTTTTCTCATAATTGACTTGACTTTATTTTATCAGTTGTAAGGGACATGTTTTTAATTGGCCAGTGTTATGGCCAACATGACTGACTCCCCTTTAGTAGTGATGCACTTTTTTGTTTTACATTGTGTTGGCCAAATAGCTGTAGGCAATATGTAATTGTATTTTATATACCTGATGATACACTGCAAGTTACACTGTAACAGAAAAGTTATAAACATGCTATAAATGGATGCAAGTATCTGTGTTCTAATGAATGCTGTCCACGTCAAATTATGCCCACACAGATGCACTTTGGCATGTCAAGTACATCAATTGGAGGTGGACCGCTGTCACTTGCAATAATGTTTAGCAGTCAGATTGAAACATTTTCAAGTGTAACTTTTAATCTGTACAATTCCTGCCAATTTTACTGGCACATTGCAGATACATCTCATCCTTATCAGAATGTCTTGTAGTCAACATGAGTCCATTCAAATGTTATATTTTGTGCTAAACATTTGGGTCTCGATTTAATATATACTTGGTTACACTTAAAAAATAATTTGTTTTCAAATTATAAAAATATTAAATATTGCAAATATCACCCCCCAAAAAATATTTTTCATAATATTAAATCATTTTACAAGTTTATCCAAAATTATTAAATCTTTTGAAAAGATGAGCCAATAATTTTAAATCAAGGCGTGTGAATGGTTATATAGATTATGAATTATTATTTTTTATTTATATAGCGCCATCAAATTCCGCAGCGCTTTACAATGAGTGGACGGACAGACATGTAGTTGTAACCAGACAAATTGGACACACAGGAACAGAGGGGTTGAGGGCCCTGCTCAATGAGCTTACATGCTAGAGGGAGTGGGGTAAAATGACACGTAGAAACATAGAATGTGACGGCAGATAAGAACCATTCGGCCCATCTAGTCTGCCCAATTTTCTAAATACTTTCATTAGTCCCTGGCCTTATATTATAGTTAGGATAGCCTTATGCCTATCCCACCCATGCTTAAACTCCGTTACTGTGTTAACCTCTACCACTTCAACTGGAAGGCTATTACATGCATCCACTACCCTCTCAGTAAAGTAATACTTCCTGATATTATTTTTAAACCTTTGTCCCTCTAATTTAAGACTATGTCCTCTTGTTGTGGTAGTTTTTCTTCTTTTAAATATAGTCTCCTCCTTTACTGTGTTTATTCCTTTTATGTATTTAAATGTTTCTATCATATCCCCCCTTTCTCGTCTTTCCTCCAAGCTATACATGTTAAGATCCTTTAACCTTTCCTGGTAAGTTTTATCCCGCAATCCATGACCCAGTTTAGTAGCCCTTCTCTGAACCCTCTCTAAGGTATCAATATCCTTCTGAAGATACGGTCTCCAGTACTGTGTACAATACTCCAAGTGAGGTCTCACCAGTGTTCTGTACAATGGCATGAGCACTTCCCTCTTTCTACTGCTAATACCTCTCCCTATACAACCAAGCATTCTGATAGCATTTCCTGCTGCTTTATTACATTGTCTGCCTACCTTTAAGTCATCAGAAATAATCACCCCTAAATCCCTTTCCTCAGATGTTGAGGTTAGGACTCTATCAAATATTCTGTACTCTGCCCTTGGGTTTTTACGTCCAAGATGCATTATCTTGCACTTATCCACATTAAATGTCAGTTGCCACAATTCTGACCATTTTTCTAGTTTACCTAAATCATTTGCCATTTGGCTTTTCCCTCCTGGAACATCAACCCTGTTACATATCTTAGTACCATCAGCAAAAAGACACACCTTACCATCAAGACCTTCTGCAATATCACTAATAAAAATATTAAAGAGAATGGGTCCAAGTACAGATCCCTGGTGACAAGTCCAAGCTCCGAATATATTCCATTGACTACAACCCTCTGTTGCCTGTCACTCAGCCACTGCCTTATCCATTCAACAATATTGGAATCCAAACCTAAAGATTGCAGTTTATTGATAAGCCTACTATGTGCAACAGTGTCAAAAGCATTATGGTAAGCAATGTCTACTGCACCACCCTGGTTTATAATTTTACTTACCCAATCAAAAAAATCAATAAGATTAGTTTGGCATGATCTCCCTGAAGTAAACCCATGTTGTCTCTGATCGTGAAATCCATGTATTTTTAGATGTTCAACAATCCTATCCTTTAACATGGTTTCCATCACTTTCCCCACTATTGAAGTAAGGCTTACTGGCCTATAGTTGCCCGACTCCTCCCTATTACCTTTCTTGTGAATGGGCACAACATTCGCTAACTTCCAATCTTCTGGGACTACTCCTGTTAGCAATGATTAGTTAAATAAATCTGTTAATGGTTTTGCTAGTACACCACTAAGCTCTTTTAATAGCTTTGGGTGTATTCCATCAGGTCCCATTGACTTATTTGTCTTTACTTTTGACAGTTGAAATAGAACCTCTTCCTCTGTAAACTCACGTGTAATAAATGACTCATTTATCCTTTTTCTTAACTGAGGTCCCTTTCCTTCATTTTCAGCTGTAAATACAGAACAAAAATATTCATTGAGGCAGTCAGCTAGACCTTTATCCTCTTCTACATACCTTCCTTCTTTTGTTTTTAATCTAACTAATCCTTGTTTTACTTTTCTTTTCTCATTTATGTATCTAAAAGAAGTTTTGTCCCCCTTTTTTACTGACTGTGCGATTTGGAAGCTCTTATAACTTGCTTAGCCTCTTTCTGCCTAATCTCATAGATCATTTTGTCTTCCTCACTCTGGTTTTTTTTTTTATAATTACTAAATGCTAACTTTTTGTTTTTAACTATTTTGGCAACATCTGCGGAGTACCACAGTGGTTTCTTGAATTTTTTGCTTTTACTGACAAGCCTAATGCAATTTTCTGTTGCCTTCAGTAGTGCAACTTTTAAATAATCCAATTTCTCTTGGACTCCATTTAAATTGCTCCAGGCTGATAATGACTCCTCTACACATATTCTAATTTTAGAAAAGTCTGTTTTTCTAACGTCTAAAACTTTTGTTTTGTGTGGTGTGACTCAGTCACTCTTCTTATATTAAACCACACTGACTGATGATCACTGGATCCTAAACTTTCACCTACAGTAATATCTGATACCAAATCTCCATTTATTAACACTAAATCTAGTATGGCCTCTTTACGAGTTGGCTCCTCAACGACTTGTTTTAGAGACAATCCCAGTAGGGAGTTTAGAATATGTGTGCTCCTGGCACAAGCAGCTATTTTTGTTTTCCAATTCACATCGGGAAGATTAAAGTCACCAATTATGATAACTTCCCCCTTCATTGTCATTTTAGCTATTTCCTCAACTAGTAGATTATCTAACTCTTCAATTTGTCATGGGGGCCTATAAATCACACCCACACGAGTTACTGTGTGATTGCCAAATTCTAACGTAACCCAAACGGACTCTATGTTCTCCTCACTAACTGTTATCAGGCTAGATTTTATGCTATTCTTCACATACAGGGCCACCCCTCCCCCTTTCTTGCCTTCCCTGTCTTTTCTATATAAAGAGTACCCTGGTATTGCTATGTCCCAGTCATTTTTTTCATTATACCATGTCTCAGTAACAGCGACTAAATCTACACTATCAGTTGCCATTATTGCCACAAGTTCATGGATCTTATTCCCTAAACTGCGATCATTTGTAGACATGACTATAAGCTTATCATTTTGTAACACACTTGCTACAGGCACCTTCTGTCCTTGTTTTAGGGGACAATTGGATTGATGTTTTATAACCCTTTTGCCCCCCCTCCTAGTTTAAATACATCCTAGCAAAACCTCTGAACTGCTCACTGAGAACATTTGTTCCCTTTTGAGAAAGATGCAAACCATGTTTTTTTGTACAGGTTATTTCCATTCCAAACAGAGCTACCATGAGAAATAAAGCCAAATCATTGCTCCCGACACCATTCACCAAGCCACAAATTAAAGTCCCTAATACACATCTGCCTGTTGTTCTGAGTGTTATGCACCGGCAGAACTTCAGAGAATGACAGTGTGGAAGCAACCTGCCGTATATCATTGGCAAAAACACTAAAAACTTCCTTAACCTCTGAAACCTCATCACAAAAGGTAAGGATATAATTAATGCATTAAGGGAACATTCCAAGTACTACAACCACTACAGTTCACTTTAGTGTTTATAATGCCAGGAGTGCCCGTGTGCCCACCCAAATACATACAAGGATTAGCCACAACATAAAAAACACTGATTGGTGAAGTGAATAGCATTGATTATATCGTTACAATGGCACCTGTCAAGGAGTTGGATATATTAGGCAGCAAGTGAACAGTCAGTTCTTTATTTTCATGATTTGGAAATAGGAAAATGGGCAAGCAAAAAGATCTGAGGGACTTTGACAAGGGCCAAATAGTGATGGCTAGTCAACTGGGTCAGAGCATCTCCAAATAGGCAAGGCATGTGGGGCATAGCTACCAAAAGTGGTGCAAGGAAGACAACCAGTGATTCGGTTTCAAAGTCATGATGCACGTGGAGAGCAAAGGCTATCACATCTGGTCCAGTCATGCAGAAGAGATACTGAAGCTCAAATTGCTATTAAAAAAAACCCCCCAAAAAACATAATGCTGACCATGATAGAAAGGTGTCAGAAGGTGCGTCACCTGTTTGTTATGTATGGGGCTACGTAGCTGCAAAACATTTGAAGCACTTCCAATTTTGCAACAAACTAGGGAAAAAAATTCCTTTTGACCCCAGAATGGCAGTGGATCAAGAAGCTATTACCCTGCAGTTGAAATATTATATCATTCAATATTCTAAGTATGCATCTAGTTGCTGTTTAAACATCTGCACAGATTCTGATAAAACCACTTCTTCAGACAGAGAATTCCACATCCTTATTGTTCTTACAGTAAAAAAAACTTTCCTTTGCCCTAGACTAAATCTTCTTTTTTCCAGTCTAAATGCATGACCTTGTGTCCTATCTATAGTCCTGTTTGTGAATAGATTTCCACACAATGATTTGTTTTGGCCCTAGATATATTTGTATAATGTTATCAAAACCCCTCTGAGGCGACATTCCTTTTAGTAATTTTAGTTCTATGGTTTATAATATTTATAGATAGTTTGTGATTCATTTTTCTTTTTGGTTTGTTTTATTGTTTTTTTTGTTTTGCATTGTAGAATCACAGAAATGCTTATTTTCCAATAGTATACACACGCTAGAAAATTTACATTTAAAAGTTAGTTTTACGTAATGGTAAAACAAGATTTTTGATTTTACTGTAAGTGTGTATGTGCCTATATAGATATGTTTATTTTTTTTATTTAAAGATTATTGCTGACCATTTTTCCTGTTTCATAGGACTGCACATGCTCGCGCTAAAGGGGATGCTGCTGATCAGGCAAGCCAAGCAGCACGCCAGGAATCCGATATTGCAAGAGCAGTAGCTAAGGAACTGTCGCCAAGCTTCCATCAGCCAGGTAAGAAATGTTTGTTGGAAAATTAATAATTAATTATTTCATTTATTGTTTGCTCTGTTTTTTTTGTTTTTGTTTTCTTTAAAGCAGTACAATGAAAAGGGTGCCATGACTGATTTTGGATTTTGGTCCAGAGGCGAGCTACAACATTGATAAAAGGAATGGAGCATTTTAGTTATGAAGAAAGGTTAAAAAAATTAAATCTGTTTAGTTTGGAAAAACGGCGCCTGAGGAGGGGATATGATAACTTTATACAAATATATTCGGTGCCAGTACAAACCTTTATCTGGAAATCTATTCATAAACAGGGTTATACATAGGACATGAGGTCACACATTTAGGCTGGAAGAAAGGAGATTTCATCTAAGGCAAAGAAAAGTTTTTTTTACAGTAAGAACAATAAGGATATGGAATTCTCTGCCTGAAGAGGTGGTTTTGTCAGAGTCCATACAGATGTTTAAACTGAAATTGGATAAATACTTACAAAAACATAACATACAGGGATATAATTTCTAATTAGTGGGGTAATAGCTGCTTGATCCAAGGAGACATCTGACTGCTATTTTGGGGTCAAGAAGGAATTTTTTCCTAGTTTGTGGCAAAATTGGTAGTGCTTCAGACCAGGTTTTTTGCCTTCTTTTGGATCAACAGCAACAACATTTGTGAGGAAGGCTGAACTTGATGGACGCAAGTCTCTTTTCAGCTATGCAACTATGTAACTATATGTAACTATGTAACTATATAAATGCATTGCAAAGTTTAGGCCAAAGTTATGGGAAAAAAAGGACAAAGTTTTTAGGGAAAAAAACAACCAGACTTTCCCTATTCTTTCCACTTAGCTATTTTGCCAGATTCTTGACAGTTTCTGGTTTAGTTAATAACTTAAGTAGTGTACCTTTTAAAAAAACAAAACAGAAGGGTACATCCATTCTGTCCAATGAAACATAAAGATGAGCTAGTAATCCCTAAACTGCTGAAAAGAGTTAAAGCGGTAGTGTCATATCAAACTTACCTTTCTCCTATTGTTTCCTCTTCTCTTCCTCTCTCAGAATCTGTTTTTCTTTTCTTTATTTCAGATCCAGTTTTCTTTAAATCATAAGACATTTGACTTTCTTTGACCAAAAGAAGAGCTTAAATCAGTTCTATTTCCTGTCAGAGAAAGTGCTCACCCTTCTACTTGACAAGGAAATGGAGCTGATTTAAGATCCTCCTTTGGTCTATGAAAGTCAAGCATTGGAAAAATACATAAGACAAAGTAGTCTCTAATCTAGATCAGAAAAAAAGAAAAGAAAAACAATAGTAGAAAGGTACGTTTGACGTGAAAATGCCCCTATAAAAATAAAGAGCACTGTGTATAGGCAGTTATTAAAGTTCTATATATAGTATATATCAGGTGACCTTGTCACTTTAACCTTCTACAGTTGCTTTTTAAAGTTACTTGTTCAATGGCGCTCTATGGATTTAAATCCTAAACAGCAGATAATTAAGCGATGAGACTACAGGTGAATGGTGTATACGCCAAAATCACTTCATTAAGCTAAAGTTGTTTTAGTGCTTAGTGTATTGCTTTTTTTTTTTTAAATTTGAAAGTTTTATTTTCAGAAAAAGGAAATTGAGGGTACAGAAAAAAGAGAGGGAGGGGGGGAGACCTCTCGGTCAAGACATCTTGTTCCTCGTTTTATAGCATACATACGTTCGGCATTGATACATATACAGATTGAGGTTGACATGGATGAATATACCACATTGAGAACGAAACGTTCAGTAAGCAGTTTACAATTGTGCATCTTTAGACATTTACGCCATTCTAAATAGTCATACAGACAAGTATACATCATCCTATTTGGGTATTGCGTGTCCCTAGTCTGGGTCATATGGTATCGTCTCTTACGGTGTATGTGGGTTGTTTCTTTAGGGATGGTTCGTCCTGTCTAGTCAGCTTTCCGCATTGGTCTAGTTAGGTTATAGTGAATGGTGATGTATTAGTGAGAGCCATGGTTCCCACAGCTGTTCCGTGAGCCGTGTTTTTGCATGGGAATCTGAGGAAAGTACTTCATATCTATAAAATTGGTATATCTTGTTCAGTAGTTCTTTGTGTGTTGGGCAATATGTGCTCCGCCAATGTAGAGCAATGAGGTTTCTAGCCGCTAATATGATAGTGGAGGCCAGTTTCTTGGCTCCTTTTTTCCATGTGCGTGGGAAGAGCAATAGGATCACCACCATTGGTGTGAGGTCAACCGTGTAACCTAATGTTTTTTCCAGTAGTTGTTGTACATGTGACCACAGGGGTTTGATCTTGCTACATTCCCACCAGATGTGGGTCATGGTCCCTTCCCTTAAGCCGCATCTCCAACATTTGGAGTCTACTGTAGAATATATTTGATGTAGTCTTTGCGGGGTAAGGTACCACCGGTATATCACTTTTTTGTGTGCCTCTACATGAGAGAAGCAGGATGTGAGGCCTTTTAGGGCATTCAATGACTGGAGCCATTGGTTATCAGTGAGTTCGGGTATATCCTCTTTCCCCCATTGTTTTACATAGTTAAAAGCATGTGGTGGTGTATGGCCTAGAAGGGTCTTATAGCATAGGGATAGTGACTTGGGTTTTGTCGGTGCCGACATGCATCTTGTAATGATAGTCAATGTGTGGGTCCCTTGTGGTGGAGTTGTCGGGAGTTTCAATGTCACCTTGGTGTGCACAATGCTCTTTAGTTGTATGAATTGGAACATAAAGGAGTTGGGTATCTTGTAGTTGGCTTGTAGTGTAGGGAAGGCCATGAGTTCAGTTTGGGAGCAGAGGTCTTTGATATGTTTAACACCATACGTAGCCCAGGATTTTAGTGACAACCAATCTGACACTCCTTCCAGCGCCCCTAACGGGGCATATACACAGAATTTTCCTTTCTCAGATATGGTGGTTAAAAATTTGTCCCATATATGTATAGTCAGTCTAGTGGTGGGGTATTATGGGAGTTTCTTTGGTCTGTAAATTTTGGGGGACCATAGTATGTTTAGCATGAGGTGCGGAGAGAATTTTTCCTGTTCCATGTCGACCCACTGAAATGTGTTTCTGGGGGCATGGATACGAATTGCGGATTCGAGGATGGAAGCTTCATAGTAAGTAGCTAGTTTTGGGAGGCCGAGACCACCCATCATTTGTGGGAGTTGGAGTAAGGATTGAGGTAGTCTGGCTTTTGCTTTATTCCAGACAAATCTATTTAAGGTTGTTTGTAGGGTTTTTAGTTCGTGTGGTGGGACGTTGAGAGGTAACATTCGAAATACATAAAGGATTTTGGGTAGTAACACCATTTTAATAGTGTTGAGTCTGCCCAACCACGACAGGTGGATGTGTTTCCATGATTGGAAGTGTGAGGTGCAGGTATGTTGCAGGGATCTATAGTTAAGAGATACCATTTTTGAGGCATGTAAAGCTAGCTTCACCCCTAAATATGTGATGTGCTTTTGTCTCCAATCGAAGTTGAAGGCCTGACGTAATGTATTTATCTGCGCCATGGACATATGTATCGGTAGGGCTTGTGTTTTATTGCTATTGAGCTTGTAGTATGATATAGAACCATAATCTTGTAGTAAATCCATTAAGTGGGGTAAAGAAACGTCTGGTTTGCTAAGGGAGAGCAAGATATCATCTGCAAACATTGACAATCGGTAGTTGGATTGTCCTATGTGTATGCCTGTAATGAGAGGGTCTTGTCGGATTTTGTGGGCTAGAGGTTCTAATGCAAGGATGAAAAGGAGAGGGGATAGGGGGCACCCCTGTCTGGTTCCATTAGTTAGGCCGAGTGGAGAGGAAATGAATCCAGATTGGTATACTTGAGCAGTAGGGTTTTTATATAACGTCATAATCCCTTGGATAAGCTTTGGTGGGAGGCCGAATTTCGTTAGTACCGATGTCATATACGCCCAATTCAGCCTATCGAAAGCCTTTTCAGCGTCTAATGCTAGAAGCAAGCATTCAGTACTCTCTGATTCTACATGGGATAGTATGTTGAGTATTTTCCTAGTGTTGTCGGAGCCCTGTCTCCCTTTTATGAAGCCTGATTGATCATTGTGTACTATTTGTGGCAAAATGGGGGCTAATCTGTTGGCCAACAGCTTGGCATATATTTTAGCGTCGCAGTTCAGGAGGGATATGGGCCTAAAGTTGGAACAGTGGGTCGGGGGTTTTCCCGGTTTGGGGAGTGTAGTTATGTGGGCTTGGAGCATAGCTGCGGGCATAGTTCCTGTTTGAAAAGAGCGGTTAAATAAAGTGGCCATGTGGGGTGCCAGAATGTCTTTGAAGGTATGGTAATATAGGTTTGTGAACCCGTCTGGCCCGGGTGATTTGTGTTTCGGCAATTGTTTGATGGTATCTATAATTTCTTATGTTGTAAATGGTTGTGTCAATTTATGACAGTCTTCTGGGGTAATGGATGGTAGTTGTACGTCATTCAGGAAAGCATCTATGTCTTTTTGACTAGGTGTGGGATTTCCATTTTCACCAGCTAAGTTATATAAGCTACTGTAGTACTTGCCAAACTCTTCCACCACTTCTTGTGGATTGGTAATCTTGTGTCCTTCTTTAGTGAGTATATAAGCTATCTTGGAGGATGTAGTTTTTGTTTGAAGGTGGGCAGCTAAAAATTTTCCTGCTCTATTCCCTTCTGCAAAGAATTTATGTTTCATTCTAGTCAGTAAGTAAGTAGTTTTGGCTAGTTCCAAGTCTTTTAGTGTAGCCTGTAGGTGGAGAATTCGTTTCGTGGTACTATGTGATGGTGAACGCTTGTTTGTGCGAGTGAGGGTGGCAAGTTCCGTGTGTATGTCTGTATACGCTTTCGTGCGTTGTCTTTTGTTAAAGCTGGCGTGTTTAATGCATTGGCCTCTGAGGACTGCTTTGTGCGCTTGCCAAAGCGTCTCCACTCCTACTTCCTCTGTGTTATTAATAGTAAAATAGGATTTAAAATCTTCTGTGAGTTGTGAGACCAGTTTGTGGTCATTGAGGAGGGTATCATTAAGTCGCCATGTGCGGTTGCCATTGGTAGGGTGCATTGTGTTTATCTAAATCGTTATAGGTGCGTGATCTGACCATGTTATCATGCCTATATCTGTTTTGGAAATTCGTGATATGTGTGTTGATGGAACTAAGAAGCGGTCGATCCGGGAGTACGTATCGTGTACTAGGGAGTGGTGTGTATAGTCTCTTTCTAATGGATGAAGGGTCCTCCATATGTCAGTGTAACCATGAGTATTGAGGGTGTTATCGATAAGGGTCGTAGCTCGTGTTCTACGTTGTGATGTAGTTCGTGAGACTGTCGTGGTCGAAGTGGAATCTAGATTTGGGTCTACAAGGAAATTGGTGTCTCCCCCTATTAGTATTTCTCCAAATTTGTGCGCCTGTGTTAGAGTGAGGATATGATCTAGGAAGGTGTGTTGGTCAGTGTGTGGGCTATAAATATTGACCAGTGTGTAGTGAGCGTTGTTAATGATGCATTGCAAGAGGAGGTAGCGTCCTTTTTTATCGCTTACTTTTTTTATGAATTGGAATGCTACATCTTTACTGATCAATATTGTAACCCCTCTTTTTTTTCTTGTAAGTGCTGTGGTATCCTACCGGATAGTTTCTGGATGAGAATTTGGGGTGGCTTGCAGTTTGGAAGTGGGTTTCTTGGAAGAATGCAATATGTGCTTTGTGTTTTTTTGCTTCCGACAATGCCATGCGCCGTTTATGGGGTGAGTTAAGTCCCTTAGTATTTATAGAAAGTACGTTAAGTGTCATGACAAGGGATTTCTAATTTGTGTATACTTTGCTGAGTTATCAGCACGGATATGGTGCATAACCAAGTAATAGTGTGTGCCTCGAGTCGTCCGACCCTTTGTAATAGCCATTTAGGCGGTGCTGTATGTTCGATTAGGCGGTAGATTTGTGGTATGGGCATGGGCATGTCTCGGTGGTGGTTAGATATCTTGGCGAGAGGTGGAGGGGGATTGGGGGTAAAACATACAACATATATCGAACTATATACAAAGAAAAGGCCTCTGTGGTGAGACCTAAGGTTCTCCATTTCCGTCGGGCACTGAAGCCCCTGTGGGGGGGGGAGAATCCCAGAAATCTGATAAGGGTGAGTTATTAGTGCATGGGGTGGTAGAGGGTAAAATAGACTCCCCGGCCGTAAGTAGGGATGTGAAGACCGGATATCCCTGGTATAGTATCTAGCTGTCCGTGTATATAAATACTCATAGAGAACCCGGTCATTCCATCTTGGGATGTGCAAGTCGTAGCTCATAGAGCCAAAGTACACAAGTCAATAAGTACGGCATTCACTGTTCATTTCTATCTCTATTCTAGCGTTCGGTCACCACATCTTAAGCTATCTCAGTTAATGTGCCAATGAAAGATGTTGTCTTCATGTAAGGGATGGGGACGATGGGGTATACACAAGAGAGTCATATGTGTTACTTAAGCATATAAAAGAGGGGAAAATATAATCTTGGTAGGATCAACACCTTTGTCTCATCTCAGTGCCTGTCTTGGAACGTTAAGGTGTGTCCCAAATTGTATCTCCAGCCCTGAGGGGTGTTGAGATAGCGTGGGGAGTTTCTATGGACCACTTCTCAAAAGGAGTGGTACCAGGTTAGGTAGTGAATGTAGTGAGTGCTACATCCTAGGTAATATTATGGTGTTGGTGTAGCTTGGAGGGGCAGCTGACGTTAATGTTTGTTTGGTTCTGTGGTGCATCCTCTCCCTCTTTAGGCAAACGCCGGCAGGTGGAGTGGTGTCGTTTATGTGGTATGGGTTGTGTGTCCGTGATGAGTCACGGTGAGCGGGTCACTAGAGTAGTTACTCAGCGCTACGGATCCGGGGGCAGTGGGAAGCTTGAGTTGGGTGAGATAGATACAGTACACTGATGCAGCATTGTGGTGACCGCCAGAGGGGTCTATACACCCACTGGGATTAATGGAACATCATGTTATAACTACATTGAGTAATATTAATCAGACATAACAAAATTTGAGCAATCTGCGACTAAAGAACATTGAACAAATCGTTTCCGATAGGGTGGCCCATCGGTGGCACGTAGTGCCGTGAAGTCCATGCACCTGTTTCCACTTTTTTTTTTTTTTTTTTTTTTGGAATAGTAAGGTGCAGGTACTCAGTCAGTTAACTTAGTCCTATAGTAACATGTATATAGTTTCACTTAGCTGTGGCCTTTGTGTGCCAATCGTGCATGAGCGTCTTCGGCGATACAGCAGCTTTCTGCCCGGCAGGGGTGGCATCGTTGCTGACATCCAAAGGTATGTTCCATTCCTCCAGGATCTTCTTTCCGTCCTCTGGGGTGAGAATGTGTTTCTCGATGCCATTACGTCGGAGTATGAGGCGAGCTGGGAAGCCCCATTTGTATGGGATATCTGCCGTCCTCAAGGCTTTGGTAATTGGCAGAAAGCTTTTCCTTGCTGCTAATGTAGCTGCTGAGAGGTCGGTGAACAGCTGAACTTTGCTGTAGGCGTCTGGTAGGGTCGGTTGTTTTCTGGATGCCTGCATTATAGCTTCCTTGGTAGTATAGTAATGGACTCTGGTTATAGTGTCCCTTGGGATGGACGCCGGGAGGTGTTTGGTTTAGGCAATCGGTGCGTTCTGTCAAGTAGTAGGGCTTCCTCTGGGATATCCGGGGCTAGAAGATGGAAGAATGTTTTGACGTGGGTGCCCAGGTTGTTTGGGGTGATCTCTTCAGGGATGCCGCGTATGCGAATGTTGTTTCGCCTGTCCCTGTCTTCGTGGTCGGCTAATTTTGCAAGGATGGAGTTTAGCCTTGCATCCACCGTATCATAAGCTGCCGCCATGTTATTATGGGCGCTGATAATTTCCTCCGTTTTGTGTTCAAGGTAGTCTGTACGTTCCCCCAGGGCCTTAATGTCTGCCCTTATTTCCTTCGCTAATTTAGCAAAGTCTGCTTGTAGGGACACTTGCAGTCCGTTTAGCATTTTCTGAATGGAGGAGTCAGTAGCTGGGAGGTCCTTTGTAGAGATCGAGGTGATATCGCTCCGGTCGGAGCTGGAGGCCGGTGATCGCGGCCTGCCGGCGCCATCTTGTGCGCCGCGTGGTGGTGAAGCCATGGCAGAGATCTGCATGGAAGGCGTCTTTAGTTTAGTTTTTTTTGCTGAGCGTTGTGCCATATTGCAGATTAAGTTCTCGTACACCCTTTGGGTTGTTTGGGGGGTATATGCTGAATTCAGTCTGCTGTTAATCGCTGTGATTTGGGATTCTCGCACGGAGCTGATCTCTCACACGTCCATCTCCTTGAGAGGTCAGGCCACGCCCCCCAGTGTATTGCTTTTAAGATGCATTTAAATTGAATGTGCCAGATCATATTCCCTCTTACAAACTACAGTTGCAAAACCATCTGTATCATTCTACACCCTTTTTTGGTCTGTGACTTCTTCTGATGCTGCTTGTCAAACTGGAAAGTCTATAAAGTGTAATTACTTAGCCAAGTTTTTGGGCAAGAAACGGAGCAGAGAACAAACGTTCCTTGTCTCTGGAAGAGCACTGCAACAAATACACAGACACGTCTACGAGGATAACTGCAATTCGGTGTCGTTCTGTCACTATATAATCCATGTTCTTATTTAATGACCACCACATCACCAACTGGTTGATACTTTTTAGAGTTTTTTCTTTCTTCTGCATTTTTTATGGTCTTATTATATTAAAGTTCTACACCCTCCTCCTTCCCAGTGTGATTGATGTGGCAGAACTCAAAGATTCTTTGTGCGATGAGAACTCTTTAGATAATACATCTTTTATAACAAATATTAACTTCCGTCCTTAGCCCTAAATCCCTCTTTCACTGTGCACAAGTGTCCAGTGTTGTAGGTGTAAAAAGAAGCCGTGCATGCTACTAATATGCTCTAACTCTGTGCAAGGGTCTCCAGAGGCACAGACGGGTATTCAGTATGATGCACTGTAATGATTTTATTAATAGCTGCTAATGAAATGTGACAGAGTCTAAGGTCATGACAAAGGGTTTGTACAAGACATTACTATAATTGGGTGAAACACAGCTTTTCATTATATACGTTAACTCTTTGAGCTCCGAAAGACTTAACAGCGGGCTTTCTAGTTTGTAATGGACCAAATTTAAATAGTGTACATTAAAAATGTGTCCACAAAGCATTTACCAAGGCTGTATTTCAACTCGCCAGGACTGAATATTCTCTCACCAATAGTTAGTACCAATTGGAAATTTTGAGCCCCAACTTAAGTATATGTATATGTCGACAAAGCATGGCAAAATATAACACTACAGTTTAACATGAGAAAATAGTGCATGTTCAAAAATCCAGCACATATGATATAATAACTTCTTATGAATAACAACCCGCCCCCACCCTCTCAGGTTTTTTGTTTTTTTTAATTAACTTTCTACATCTTTCACATCTGTAACCTTAAATCACACTCTGCCAAAGCTATTTTACCATTTTTAAAGCCATTCCTTTCTTTCCGACTTAACCACCATGTAAATCGTCTTCTTAATCATCATATTTTAATTAAAGGGACACTGTAGGCACCCAAACCACTTCAGCTCATTCGGTTAAACATTGCAGTTCCAGATAAACTCTAATGTTTACATTGCAGCTCTAAGTCTGCCCCCCTGTGGACTTTTGGTCCGTTATCTGACGCTGGACATCCTCACGCTCTGCATGAGGAACTCCAGCATCATATTTTTTCCCCATAGGAAAGCATTGATTCAATTCAGCATTTGCCGCGCATGCGCATTAGATCCTGCTCGTTGCAGGATGGAGAAGGGGGCGGAGCTTCGACCCAGCGCCGAGGGACATCGGTGCTGTGATCAGGTAAGTAAATAAAGGCTTTTAACCCTTTATTTACCGGGTAGGAGGGGGGAGGCAGAGGGATCGGTAGTGCCAGGAATACAGATTTGTATTCCTGGCACTACAGTATCCCTTTAACCCCTTAAGGACCAAACGTCTGGAATAAAAGGGAATCATGACATGTCACACATGTCATGTATCCTTAAGGGGTTAAGCTAGTCTGCCCCTTCTTCTCCACATTAGTACAGCTTCTCCATACATACCAGCATTCTACATCACTATGCTTTCTTTCTCCATCATGCAAACTATCCCACTCTTGGTCTTCCTTACTTTACCAAGAAATATCTCCCAGGGCCGGCCTTAGGCCATTAGGCGCCCTGTGTGAAAGTCTTCACGGCGCCCCCACCAAGTTGTCTGTATACAGTCACACAAACCATTACAGGCAGACAGTCACACATGCTCAGTTACAGGCAGACCGTCACAGAGCCAAACAAACAGCTACAGGCACACAGTCACACACACAGTTACAGGCAGACAGTCACACACACACACACCCACACAGGCAGGCAGTCACACACACGCAGACAGGCAGTCACACACACACACACACAGGCATGCAGACACACAGGTAGGCAGTCCCAATTACACACACACACACACACACACAGACATACAGACTTACCTCTTTCCATTATGGCTGGAAGGGGGAGTGGATGCAGTTGGTTGTTGGGGAAGCAGGGGCTGCTTCCTTCTTCCCTCTTCCTGTGCAGGAACTTCGGGTAGGTATTAGCTATGCCTCATGGGAAGCCCCGCCTCACGTGAAGACCCGCCCCCACTGCGGGGTGGAGAATAATTAATCCTCCACCCGGGTACCTGTTTTAGCTCCCCTGACACCGCACAGCTCGCACACCCCTAAGGCCGGCCCTGATATCTCCCTAAACGGGGTTCTCCATCTAGGTTTGCTGCCTGCTTCTGGACAGGTAAAACCTCTTAAAAGTGCAGATTTTTGCACTAGCAACAGGTTTCCAAAAGAAGATTCCATGAAGCGCCTTTCTGTTTCATGTTTAATGGCCTGTGTGCTAATACTGACTGGATACTACATGGTTGAGAATCAAGCAGTGCGGCTACAGAGTCATGGTCTATCACCAAAACTGCTTCATTCAGCTAAAGTTGTTTTGGTGCTTATAATTTCCCTTTAAATTCAGGACTCACATGGGAAACAATAAGTAAACTTTACTGCAATGTAACCTCTAGCCTTTCTATCACTATATAAAAATATTTAAATGGAGAGGAGATATAAATTATACATTTAAGTATTTTACTACATTTTCTTCAGCAACTACAGACAACACCTAAAATGTATTCAGCAGTATCTCCAGCTCGTGGAAATATCCTCAATAGATTTCTAATGTTTTCACTTTACTTAGAAAATCATGATACTTCATGGGAATAAAACATATATTAGTTTTCCATTATACCCGTCCTGGGTTTGATACTGTCACAGTGCCGGAAACCGTAATTACTTACGCAACCCCCAACAACGTAACTAGCAAGCTGGTAGTTGCAAAAGCAATACATAATTCTTTTGATGTAGTCTACTATTTCCTCTTTAACTCTGTCTAAACTGCTAAATTGTTGTATTCTACTCATGAATTTCATTCTCTGTTGAGTGCTGACAGTTTAACTGCATAATAGTACGTTGAAGGCCTGCATTTTATTAAATCTCAATCTGTGAATGAACAAACTACTTGTGAAACGGAACGCTCATTATTTACCACTCTCTCTTGGAATTGCATGAGCACATTTCATAATGCAGTTACTTTGATATGATCATTAGAATTCACTTGTGAATTTTTCGGAAGTGATAAAGATAATCTTCGACGCAGCCTGACATCCTAAGTGACGTTTTGGCTAACGACACTGGTACAGCTACTTTACTCCTGGCTCTAATTAATTATCATTTCTTTTCATCTCTGAGTTATGTTAAGTTTGACACTGGCTTAAGTGGAAAGCATACAACTGCACAAATGATTGAAAATAATGTATGCTGCTAAAAGTAATAATATAGATCCACGTTGTATACTTCTAATTTAAAGAGCAATTTATGCATAGAAAATAGCATGAGAGGCACAGGTTTAACTAAAATATACAATAAAACAGCAATTATATGTGTAGATTGCTGTTCAGGGGTGCCTGAAATCTCAGGTTATGTAATTCTACACAATATACATTTTTAATCTATTCAGTAAACATTTACAGAAGTACTGGAGGAATAAAATGTATATTAAATATCTGCACTGTAATACATAGGCCAAGAGCTAGGCTACAAAGTATTCCTGTAGCGTATTTGTTGTGCGCAAAGAGAGATGACCTTCCATGTTATGGGGTGGGTTCACCCAAGTATTTTCAGGTCAGGCCAGGCTGTCTGTAGCCCATAGAGCAGCGTAGCTAAGGGGAGTGGGCCTTGACATTGCCAGGAGACAGGCCATCTAAAGGTCAGTGGTCAGGGATTGGTCAGTGGAAATGGAGGGGTGGAGTTTTAAAGGGGAGTATAAGTAGTGGCCATTTTAGAACCAGGGATCACTTTAATCTAAGTTACACTTACCTGTTTGTTGTCCCACCCACCCTCCCTTTGCTTTCAGGTGTTTCCCGTTTGGTCACGGCGGCGGGTGATGGAGAGTAAAGTTGGGGGGGGGAGAAAAGAGTGAGATGGGGAAAAAGTTTGGAGTTCAGGGCTAATAGGTAGGCCTTTGGACTGGTTTGGTAGGTTCGAGCTCGTAGGTAGCTCCGAACCGGGGTCTGTATGGGGTGTCTCGGTATGCCCCTACACTTGTGGTGCCCTTTGGTGGCAATGGATGGTGCCCTTTGGTGGCAATGGTCATGTTTCATGTTAAGTAAAATGTTCAATGTTTGGATATTATGTTATGTTGGGGTGGGTCATTGTCAAGGGGTTATTTGTAAATGCAGGATGTTAATTGTGCAGGCCAACGTTGGCCTGCTGTTGACAATGACCTTTACATTTATGTTAATTACAAATAAAGCTGTGATATAATTTTGCCAAAACCATGGTGTCATTGCTTTATTGGGGATTGGGTATTTGGTGGGGGTTTTTAAGCAGAGGCCGACAAGGCGACTGTGCCCATGTCATATAAAGCAGGCCGACCCACAAAGAGAGCACTGTTTCAGCCCTCTCTGCATGGCCCTAGTGCCCTGAGCATAATAGGCGCATGTCTAATGATGTGTTCAGCCTACGCTTTCTAGGGACAGTTTCCTTGTGTCCCCAAAAGTAAAACACCAGGGAACAAAATTGTCAAGACCGGACAGGGCTCTAAAATTAGGACTGTCCCACTGAAATTGGGTAGGTTTGGAGGCCTGCTATAGATTAACAGAGAAATCCAATTGTATACAGATACTTCCTGCATCGTTGGACCTGCAGGTCTTAAAGCGGCACTGTCACGCCAAACGTACCTTTCTCCTATTGTTTCCTCTTCTCTTCCGCTCTCAGAATCTGTTCTTCTTTTCTTTATTTCTGATATATTTTTCTTTAAAACATAAGACAAAGTAGGGACTACTTTGTCTTGAGTATTTTTCCTACGCTTTACTTTTTTTGACCAAAGGAGGAGCTGAATCCGTTCCATTTCCTGTGTCAATGAGAAGGGTGAATACTTTCTCAGACACAGGAAGTAGAGCTAACTTAAAGGACCACTATAGGCACCCAGACCACTTCAGCTCAATGTAGTGGTCTGGGTGCCAGGTCCATCTAGGGTTAACCCTGCAGCTGTAAACATAGCAGTTTTAGAGAAACTGCTATGCTTACATTAGGGTTAATCCAGCCTCTAGTGGCTGTATCATTGACAGCCGTTAGAGGCGCTTCTCACTGTGAAAATCACAGTGAGAAGATGCTGACATCCATAGGAAAGCATTGAGAAATGCTTTCCTATGGACTGATTAAACGCGCGCGCGTCTCTTGCCGCACATGCACATTCAATGCGGAAGTGGAAGGAGATTTACCCAGCGCCGAGGGAGCCTGACGCTGGAGAAAGGTAAGTGATTAACCCCTAAAGACCCTATAGTGCCAGGAAAACAAATTTGTTTTCCTAGCACTATAGTGGTCCTTTAAGCTCCTCCTCAAGAAAGTAAAGCGTAGGAAAAATACTTTGTCTTATGTTTTAAAGAAAACTAGATTGGAAATGAAGAAAAGAATAACAGATTCTGAGAGAGTAGGAGAAAGGGAAAAAATAGGAGAAAGGTAAATTTGGCATGACATTGTCACTTTAAAGTCAATGCTGTAATAAACATGAACTGTTGGAGTGATAATTAAAAATAATAATTTATTGTTAAAATGTATTGAGACATATATATATTGAGGCATTTTCCATCCGAATCCCTAACTTTTACTAACAGAGTATAATGATTTAAAATTTTACCGTTTAATAATATTTCTTCAGTTGGCAATCGTGTCTTCAGTACAGGTTATGAACAATTTGTGAGTGCAACTAAGTGAGTCACTATCTTGGCATACACACGGCACCGTACTCTTCCTGCTACATTCATAGAGTTGGCAGGATGACGGTTTTGTTCCTTCTCAAGATTGCATTTTTGAGCTAATGCCCATTTCTAGAATAGATAACGGCTAGCTTAATTGACTTTGTCAAATAAGTGTTGAAAGTTCTGTTAATACCTGCATATTGCTTTTTTTATCACATGTTTTGTGTTTAAAATCTGTGTATATATAAAATAAAACAGAACTGTTTAAAGAAAAGTAGCAGTCATGCTTATAGTAAATATAGTGTTTTATATACCAAACAAAGGCCCAGCATGTTATAATTCTTAGTGTACATTACACAAATAATAGCATTGAGCAAGAGTTTGTCTCCAGTGTAAGAGCTGAATAATTTTTTTTTGTAAACCGGTCACATTTTCTGCTTCTTAGCACTTTTCTTACTGAATGTAAGAAAATGTTGAGTCTGCAATAGGATCTGTATTCTGCTTAGTTTTCATTGGATACAAACTAGCTCAGTAAAAATGATGTACTATCAACTCAGCTAGTCAAACCTCTTCTACAACTAGATACAGTATTCAGAATATAATACCAATATGCTTTAGAATGCTTAGGCACAGTGCCCAGAAATACTGCTTTAATCAAGTTACATTTTGCTCCAGTCAAATTTGCTCTCAGGCGGATTAAATCTGGTAGTGATAAGACTTCAGCATTTGGTTACGTCCAAACTGAGCTTCATCAGAATTTGGTTTTTTTCTGTATCTCTGAAGCACTATGCAAACGTATACTTGGGTAAACGACAAGTCGATGCCCAAATATGTTCAGATGCTTTCAGAGTCAAGGTTCCGCATGTGGTGCCAAAAAGGGGGGATGGAATGGAGAGGAAGCAGATAGTTTGCCATGATGGACAAAATATCTGCCCAATGTGGTGGGCTGCATCTCCTGTCCAGTTTAGAGGTGGAAAAAAAGGTGATTGATGGATAGGGAACAGCCACTAAATGTTGATTTTATTTACAGATCAAGTGAAGGGACCAACAGAAAGGAAATGAGGAGCAAGAAAACCACAATATTTCCAAGCAGGATTTTTCTAGAAATTCTGACTTCTGCTCCTAAGAGAGACAGACCCACAGACAGGAACTGTCTGCTTTTACACTAGCTGTGCCTATATGGGAGTGTGGTATGTTTGTGTCATTGATCCTATTGTGAGACTGCTTTGGCTTAGGTTACTGCTTTGCCTGCCTGGCTTGTGCCACTTACACCAATTTTGAGTGGGAGACAGCTTGGGTCATTGATAAAATATGTGAATGACTAATTTTGACGGTATTGGAATTACACTGAAATATGTCTCCGTATTTTTTTTTTCTCCGCCTGACATTTCTAGACACTGGGCGGAGTAACCAGTAACGACTGCAGGGAATCAACTCTGTCAATTTCGCAAGACCCCCATAGACCTCAATGCTGTACTCACACATGTGCAAGAGTACAGCAGTGACATGGGCTCCAGGTGCTGGACTCATGGAGGGAATGACACAGCTGGAGGTGGTGGGGGAGGGAATTATACACATGGAAGCCCTGGGGGGAAAGGAATAATATGTGTATGGGACGTCAGAATGATATACATAGAGGAGCAGGTAGTAGAGAAGTCTATCCTAGACTTAAAATAAGGCCAGGGACTAATGAAAGTATTTAGAAAATTGTGCAGACTAGATGGGCCAAATGGTTCTTATCTGCCTTTACATTCTATGTAATGAGAAACATGGAAGGACTGGGGGCAGGGAATAAGACACATGGAAGGGCTAGGGGGGGAATGAGACACATGGAGGGGCCGTGGGGAGGGAATGAGACACATGGAGGGGCCGTGGGGAGGAAATGAGACACATGGAGGGGTTGGAGGGAGGGAATGAGACACGTGGAGGGTCTGGGAGAGGGAACAATACACATTGAGGGCTGGGGGAGGGAGCGCTAGGGAGCGAAGGGAATGATATGTGTACGGGGCGTGAAAGGGGTAATGATACATGGAGGGGGAAGAGGGAATGAGACACATGGAGCGACTGGGGGGAGGGAATGAGACACATGGAGAGGCGTGGGGGGTGGGAATGAGACACATGGAGGGGTTTGGGGGGTGGATGAGACTCCTGGAGCCACTAGGGAGTGAAGGAATGATGTGTTTATGGGGCATGAGAGGGGTAATGATACATGTTGTGGTGGGGGGAGAGGGTATGAGACACATGGAGGGAATGAGATACGTGGAGGGGCTGGGTGAGGGGATGATACACATGGAGAAGAGGTAATGATACACATGTATGGGCTGGGGGAGGGAATAAGACACATGGAGGAGGAAATGAGTGACATGGATAGGCTGGAGGGGGGGATATGAGACACTTTTGAAGGATGAGACATGGGGTTGACCCAAGGGCACTTTTCGCACCGGGCACGTTGATTTCTAGTTACGTCTCAGCTATGAAGCATCCAGTTATTGTTATGATCAGGGACTTCCCAACTCAGTACAAACTGTAATGGTGAGAGATATGAAATACACCTTACTGTGGATTTCTTTATGATTAAATTCTGGTATCATGTGCTGTTCACCATTTTATATGTCAATTAATGTATAAAAAGGTGATATCTCTAGAATTATCTAATAGTAATTACAAGAAAGTATACTGAATTAGTATATCTATTGGAGTATATAGTAATAGCATAGCTAACAAAATATAGTTTAACATGGTTTATAAAATGCTAATTCACATACATGTAAGCATTTATGTGTTATTTTGGTGCTTGTCAATGTTTAAAATGAAGGAGAAACAAATGTGATCTGCTTCACGGGCACAGCACGCTAGAGTTTCACCTTTTGTGTTACTTTATTATGCATATAATTCATTAAAACATTTTAAAAATAGATACTCACCTTTCACTGCACATAATTTAAGGCAAATACCAAAGTTCTTCAGCTTGTATGGTGATGTACACTAAGACCAGGACTTTGCCTCCCAGCCTATCCAGGTTCTTCCTACTGATTCAAGTAGGAAATCAGTATCAAGGCATGCATACAGCAGTGAGGGTAAATGCTGTGCAGATCCATATAGCAGAGAAAGCACTGATTATCTGCTTCATTTTCAATAATTTTTTTTTTTTTTTTTTTTTTTAAAGGGCTGTTCTAAAGGCTCTGCTTGTGTATGCCCAGTGGTGTATTTTGGGTTTGTGCTGCTCTCGGCATGACTAAACAAAGGCACCTCCCTAATTTAAATTTGCCTGACCCCTTCCCGTCGAGGCCACACCTCATCCTGTTTAAGAACCACCCACCCTCTTTAAACTTCACTCCTTCCTCTTTAGGCTCCAGCTGTGCAAGAGGGCAGAACTGGAAGTACAGTACAGACAAGGTAAAATCCAAAATCAGAGTAGAAGTCAAATTTAAAGGTCGGGGCCGGTGGCGAGTATGCAGAAACGATGATACAAAACTAGAGAGTCAGGACTTAGGTAGAATGGTACCAGTAACTAAAACCACAAACTTACACTGAAGCTGATGAGAGGTAAGGCTTTAGAGCCAGTAAACGAGTCACAGATGAGGCAAATAGCTGCAGGTGAGTCAGCAGGTGTCCAGCCCCCCATACTGACGGATGTCAAAATGCAGTGGCTCACAGGTAGAGAAACTAACTAGAAAAGATGAGGACCAGATGTCAAGTTCAATCAGATCTCCCAAAGGGGTGGCCATGCCTGGCAGCCTGCAGAAATTGGGACAAACCGTGATACTTATTCCGCAGCGCTTTGCAATATTATAAAAGGGTAAACTTAATAATAAATGAGACAATTATAAATATTACAGGAACAATATCTTAAAAGAGTTCAAAATCTACGGTAGAAATCTTTTATAATTGTGATTGTTCTGTTTGAGGGTAGATAACCTGTAGGATATTTGTAAGAGCATTAATATTCCAAAAATTAGCCTGTGAGGGTCTCCAGGAAATTTCCAAGCTTCAAAAAGGAGGACTTATACTGAAAATGCTAGGAACTATTACTGCAGCCTGGACAGCATCTGTACAATATCTAGTTATGCATGTTTGTATGAATACAGATATTTTAGTTTTAGTGCATCATTTTTTGCCATTGTTTTTTACAGGGCCAGATTATATGAGGCAAAAGTTTCAAGAGGTAGTAGAAGTAAAAGAAGTTGTTGAAGAAAAAGTGCAGAAGAAACCACCATCTCCAAAGGAGTCTCCACATTTTTATAGAAAGGGTACCACACCACCCAATACACCAGAAGAAAGAAGGAAGCAAACATCCCAGTCTTCTTCACAACCTACAAAGATAAAAAATTCTAGCTCTTCTGCCGTTGCTCTTCATAACCCCGAGAGGAAAAGCTCTTCGAGTGAGAATCTACCTGCATCTTCCAATAAACCTTTACCTGTTAAAGTGCCAGAGAAAGAAGAAGGCATTGCAAAACCACTGCCAAAGGCGTCTTTTAGCCACAATCCTAGCAACACCGGGAATGGAGAACTACATGCTGACTCTGGCTACTTTATAAAAATAAATCCATTGCTGACTTCAGATCTGAAAGCAAAAGCCAACCCATCAAAACCATCTGCATTTACAAACCTACCACAAGTCCAGATGCCAAGTCCTAAGAAGCCTGTAGTAAAACCAGATGCCAAAGAAAGTAGACCTGAGCCAAAACTCAAGAAGCAAGATTCTGTGGCACCAAAGAATGAAACAAATAATAATGATTCCCTTTCTACTATAGGAAATGGAATCAATTCTGTAAGTATTACATAACTGTACTTTTTAACATTGCCTATTACATTTTTTCTTTTTACCTCTGTCCATCTATTGATTCACAAAATGTAAAATTGATATTAATAAAAAAAAAAAGTTAAACTTTAATAGAACACTATAGGGTCAGGAACACACTCATGTATTTCTGACCCTATAGTGTTAAAAGCACTATCTAGCCCTCCTGGCCCCCCTTACTTCCCTAAATATAGTCAACGCTTACATTTATGCCAGTCTGCTGCTGGATCTGCCCTTGATCTGCCTCCTTGGCTGACATCATCACAAGTGGTGATCGCAGCCAATCACAATGCTTTCCCATATTAAACCATTGGGTTGGCTGATATTGTCAAGGAGGCAAATCAGGGGTAGAATCAGCACAAGCCAAACACAGCCAAACAATGCATCTCTATGAGGAAAGTTCAGTGTCTCCATGCAGAGTCTGAAGATACTGAATGTCAGTCACACTGTGCAGCACTACCTCAGGAAGCACCTCTAGCAGCCATCTGAGGAGCGTCCAGTGAAGGTATCCCTAGGCCTTTTCTCTGAAAAAACTGTGTGTATTGCAAAAAGCCTGAAGGGACTGATTACACTCACCAGAACAAATACAATTTGTACAACTTTAAGAAACATTCAGAATGAAAATGCATTAGATTTTTTTTTACCCTGATGACTCACTCTAAGATAATAGTAAACTTTCTAAAAGAATGCAATCAAATAATATCATCATATCTTTTTTTATTATTTTTATTGGCTTCAAATGACTGATCTATTTTTGCCATTGTTAGTCTGAAATAAAACTTAAATAAACAACTAATTACAACATCATGGGAACATTGAAAATTGGGAGAGTTGTAATTTTAGCAACATAAGTTTCATTGCAATTTGTATAAAGTCAGACAGCAATTGATAACTGTAGAGAAACAGAGAAACATTGATGTAAGAGATTAACTATATTTTTAGCGATCTCAGTACTGCTGATCCTTTTTTTGAGCTTTGTCTTGATCCTGAAGAGAAATAGAACATTTACTGTCCAGTAAAACACAAGTTTCAGTGCTTTTTGTTTGAGGTATCCCCAGAAATCCTATATTGTTTTCTTAATCCGCAGGCATTGCTCTGTCAAGATACACCGTTTGTGTTTGGTGAATTTTTCATGTGAAAAAAATACACAATCCAAAATGCAAACAAAAAGGACATTTTAATAAAATATGAAATTCTGCCCTGTCGCGTGGACCCCCGATTACGTGTGAGGACTCCCATTTTCAAAGTGTGAAAAATACACTTATAGATAATATAATGTAATATACATGCAAAGTAACCTAAACAGAAACTGTTACTTTCATGAGTTTATATTCGAAAGCATGGGCTTATCACCAGTGGGGAACCTCAGGGAGCTGTACTTGGAACCATTCTCGTTAATATTTTTATTAGTGATATTGCAGAAGGTCTTGATGGTAAGGTATGCCTTTTTGCTGATGATACTAAGATATTTTGAAAAACAGAGAGCTAGAAGCCTCTAAAGGAACCAGCTAAATGTGTGTCAGGGGCGACCATAAAGGGGGTAACCCTCACATATGTGTGTACAAAGAGAAAAGGAGACCCGGTGGGTCAAGGAAATAGGAAGTCGCTTAATTAAACTCTGTATATATAAAACATAGCTTTTAATGATTTCTATAATAAAATACTCATGCTAATAGAAAAAAAACAAGGAAAACAGAACAAAATTAAAAATGGGTTGAATAGGTTAAGGAAAAAATCAATCGTATCTCCTGAGTGGGATATATACCCCAATAATATAATCTCTTAAATGGATCCAATAGTATCTTAGAAGAGAAGGGGGTCCCAATACAGTACTCGTACCGTAGCTTTAAATAATCACAGTCGTAGCAATCTATTGTGGGGCTCCCATCTATAGTTGTGGATAACTAATAACCCTCACAAGGAGCCTCTAATCGTCACTTAGAGAGCCCTATAAGGCTGAGGTTACCAAATAATGCTACACATCAAGGAGGGAAGCTGATACACAATCAAAAAAGCAAGGTCTGCTACTTGGTAGATAAACAGTACTACTCGGCTAGTATACAGTCAATGGTGGAGTGATACAATGTATCCAATGCCTCTGTTAGCATAGGCTGCAATGCCCATACTGACCCTATATACTTCGTTATGAAGCACCAGGTCAAGGGGGCACTAGAAAGTGCAACTGCCCTACTTGGCTATAGTCTGGGCACACAGTGGGGAATAAGAGGTGAGGTTTCCCCCTCTAATAGATCAGAGGTAACAAATGCCCAAAACAAGTGATAAATACCCCTGATCACCCACAACCCTCAGTAAGGTAGCAAAGTTGGAACGGCTGAAACATAGACTTCTATCTAACTAGCTGTCATAAGCTGAAACGGCTGGAGCACCGACACCTATCTAACCTAGTTGCCTGTTGCCTGACACGTGTTTCGGCGCTACTGAACGCGCCTTCTTCTGAGGCCATACCTCGTCCAAGGCATTGAACTATTTCACTCTTTTTGGCAGCAGAGAGATCCTTTTCCTTCCCCATATTGCATGAAAATGGTGCTCTGCTTAATAATGTGTAACACCCTCCTTTAGTAGTTTTTCCTTAAAGTGGGCTCACCTGGCAATCTAATTATCACAGGGGTTCGAGATTGTTTTAAGTGATCAAAAGAGCCCTGAGACACAATGCCATCCATGAGCTAAACTGAAAAACAAAATATTTAATCTTTGTGACACTTCAATAGAATTTGCATAATAATTTGGAACAGGGTGTATATTGTGTAGGCACGAACATTGTTGCAGTAACCAAGTTTAATTTATTATGCAGGAGGCTACATTTATTGTTTAAACTTATTTTATTGGTTTTGTTGATCAATCGGTGTTTTAAAAACATCTAGTTACTGTTTATTGAGCAACTGTAAGCACAAGAACAACTTTGTATTATTGAAAAGGTAAGGTGCATAAAGTACACAGAGCAAACTAAAACGACAGCAATGTTTTAGAAACCTAGCTCTCTAATACAGCAACTCACAGCTGTCCGACAGATGGAAGGCTTCGTTCTAGTTGCATGTTGGATCTGCAGACACCTGGAGCTGAGCTCTCTTCCTCTCTGGAGAAACACTGAGCCACTGACTGTACATGCGCAAACTGTGGTACAAAGTGAACCAGGCTATGGGTAAATTGACTGCAGCCTCAGTACGGTGACTATCACTTTAAAGGATAGTTCAGATCAGTTAATGAGTGGAACTACTCCTGGGATAAGCTTTAGTTAGGCTTTCGTTTTTAAGCATTATCCAAGTAATGCATTAAAATTATGCAGGGAAATTATATTCCACAGTTTCCCTTTAAGGTGTAAGTATTTGTATCTAAAGAGCTACTGGTGGAAAACAACATGCACATTTAAAAAAAAAAAAAAATGAATTCAGCAGCGAGACTGCAGAGGCATGATCTATACACAAAAACTGCTTCATTAGGCTGAAGTTGTTTTGGTAACTACAGTATAGTGTCCCTTTAATGCTTTCAGTAAACCACCCACCCATATATTTCAACGGAAGTAAAGATTAATCATAGCAGTGATATGGTATCTTGTTTTCAGAAACTGCATGTATTATGGCAATAATATGACTAAAAAGAAAGGACAGAAAACCCCCAACCTTCTATAATTTGCTTTATATGTAGAAGAGGAAAGTAAAAGCAAAAGGAAGTATTACAATGAATGTATTTATACTCTATAAATATAACTTTACAAAAATAAGTAATATTTTAGTAAGGAGTGTCTCAGTCTGAATTGGAGAATAAATGCAAAAAATATTCCAGACAAGTAAATTAGAAACAACAGAGAAAAAACTATCTCTGCAGGTAAAAACATTTTTTTTTAAATGCACTTTTGTTCTAATGGATTGTGGGTGGAGGTAATTTTCGTAATACAATCCCCAGCTAAATACTTATTTTTGTGACCACTAAAAAGGAACCATTCCTAGCCCCTCTCTTATAATGCCTCTGGTGTCTCCAGAACTTTATTAAATCATGGCATCTTCATTGCTCACCTCTACAAATCTCCTTCGATTTGGCTCTTGACTGCAGAAGTCATGTTCAAAACCATTTTGTAATCCCTTATTAGCAGTTTATAGCTCGCACACGCAGATCAACTGAGGCGGCAGTGTTGATTTAAAGATCCAATTACTTATTTAGGTTCTTTATGCACTCTGGTTGAAGAATTTTAGGGTCATAGGGAAAGCAAAACCAGTTTCCGTTCATCTGTAAACAGATACCTGAATTAATGATCAATTTCTAATTATTTTTTTCACAATGAGCTAGTAATGTATCTTAATTTTAATTTGCACCTTTAGATCTTTTTTCCAGGATATATATTGATTCAACATCACGTGTGTTAGTAATTTTACTTAATTGGGCTAAGCAAGTCTGTGGCGGAACACCCGCTTGTTTGGGTGCTTTCTACTTATACTGTGTGTTTTTCCCTTGCCTTCATATATTGTACCCCTCTCCCTATTCGGGAGTGCCCCTATTAAAGGAACTACTTCGTCTCACGAACGGGGACCACCCTATATCCCATTTAGAACGTGAGTTAGAACATTCAAATAGAACGTTCGCACTTGCAACATAGGTGTGAAACCATAAGGAAAGCAATGAATGAGCGCTCCCCTGGGTTGCCACCATTTCGTGTAGACGAACGTCAGCCCGGGGGAGCGTTCGTGGATTGCTTCCCGACTCGTTCGTTCCCCGAATGAGGACCTCCCCAATTAATCAGAACGTTTGCACTTGCAACATAATTAATTAATGCTCTTTTTAGAAAAAGAAGACTGTAGATTTGGAAAACCTCCCAATAGTAGACAGTGTAAAATTTGGCTATGAAAATAAAGCTTTCAGTTAGATGGAAACACCTTGCACGGAGACATGCATAAAGGCCGAGTGTGGCTCAATAAAATTTTGTTGTACCTCCAGAGCTGTGTGTCGTCCAGTTACTGGGGAGAAATGGGTCTCCTTATACTCTATGCGGTTCCCCTAGATGGGGAAATTAGCAGAGGTAATAGTTCCGGTTACCATGGGTCTGCTACAGTCCATAACTGAAAGCTTTATTTTCATATTACACTGTCTACTATTGGGAGGTTTTCCAAATGTATAACTCTACAGTCTTCTTTTTATAAAAAGAGTAAAGTTAACACCTGCGTAGTTTGGATTCTTCGCTCGTCACTCTGTTGAAACAGCTGTGACCAAAGTATCCAACGATTTAATTACTGCTAAATCTCGCGGCCATTACTCTTTCCTAATTATCCTTGATCTTTCTGCTGCCTTTGACACTATTGATCATCAACAGCTTCTTCTCATTCTACGTAATCTTTGTTGATGGGATACTGCTTTCTCCTGGTGCTCCTCTTACCTCTCCCAGCGCCTTTTCAGTGTTTCAAGGTTCTGTCCTTGGTCCCCTACTGTTCTTTATCTATACTGCCTCCTTTGGTAAACTCATCAGCTCCTTTGGCTTCCATTATCACTTATATGCAGATGACACGCAAATCTACCTGTCCTCTCCTGATCTCTCTTCGCCCTTCTTGACTCGTGTCTCTGACTACCTCGCTGCGATTTCCAATTGGATGGCTTCTCACTTCCTTAAACTCAACCTGTCCATAACATAACTTCTGGTCTTTCCTCCCTCAAGTGTTGCTACTCCTGTGCCTGTCTCCCTCCAAGTCAACGGCGCCACCATCACCTCTACCTCGCAGGCTTGCTGCCTAGGTGTTCTCTTTGACTCCGACCTCAACTTCAAACAACATGTTCAGTCGATCGCCAAATCCGGCCGCTTCCATTTCAAAAACATAGCTTGCACCCGCCCCTATTTAACACCAGACACGACTAAGGTGCTGGTCCATGCCATTGTTCTTTCTCGCCTTGACTACTGCAATCCCCTTCTCAGTGGTTTTACGTGTTCCCAGATTGCACTGCTGCAATCTATAATGAATGCAGCGGCGAGGCTCATGTATAGCTTGGAGGAAAGACGAGACAGGGGGGATATGATAGAAACATTTAAATATATAAAGGGAATCAACACAGTAAAGGAGGAGACTATATTTAAAAGAAGAAAAACTATCACAACAAGAGGACATAGTCTTAAATTAGAGGGACAAAGGTTTAAAAATAATATCAGGAAGTATTACTTTACTGAGAGGGTAGTGGATGCATGGAATAGCCTTCCAGCTGAAGTGGTAGAGGTTAACACAGTAAAGGAGTTTAAGCATGCGTGGGATAGGCATAAGGCTATCCTAACTATAAGATAAGGCCAGGGACTAATGAAAGTATTTAGAAAATTGGGCAGACTAGATGGGCCGAATGGTTCTTATCTGCCGTCACATTCTATGTTTCTATGTTTCTATGTTTCTATGTTTCATTTTCCTGTCCGCCTGCACATTCCTTGCCTCCACCCTCGGTCAGTCCCTACACTGGCTTTCAGTTAGATATAGGGCTCAATTTAAGATTCTGGTGCTTGATTATAAGTCCCTACATAATGTTGCTCCAACCTACCTATCCTCCCTAATACACAAGTATGTCCCGTTGAGGCCCCTTCGCTATGCCGAAGACCTATGTCTATCCTCTGTCTGTACTACCACATCTGATGCTTGCCTCCAAGATTTCTCCAGGGCTGCACCTTTTCTGTGGAACTCCCTTCCCTTCTCCGTTAGACTTTCACCCAGTCTCCACTTCTTCAAAAAAATCTTTGAAAACACACTTCTTCAGGAAAGCATATCGTTTAAACTGTAAGTGGGTTTTAATTTCCCCCATCCCCCATGACTCCTCTCCTGCATCTGTCAAAAATAACCAAAGTTCTCAGTGAATACTTTTCTAGCAACCTATTTCATTACCCCTACTTATACCTTTTGTGTCACTATACTCCACTTCCTCTAGCATGTAAGCTCATTGAGCAGGGCCATCAACCCCTCTGTTCCTGTGTGTCCATTTGTCTGGTTACAATTACGTGTCTGTTAGTCCACCCATTGTACAGCGCTACAGAATTTGCTGGCGCTATATAAAATAATAAATAAAAACTCTCTAAGATATGGTAACAGCAGGAAGAGATTATTAATAAATATAACAACCACTAGGGTGGATTCTTCAACCTTTGGTAAGAGAAGAACCTAATTTTTCCCAGTTTGTTTAATATGCTTCAGTGGTTAAATGGGAAAATATTCATCATAGCCTTAGAATCCATTTGAATATCTTAGCTATATTAGATTTCTGGTGCTTGCTCTTTGTGTAGCAGCTAGAACTTCCCAAACCAGAGGCTCTTCCTTCTGGTCGTGGGTACAAATAAGACAGAAAATATAGGGAAGAAGCGCTTTGCGGTTAATGTCCTTGTTTGTAGGATCCAGTGTAGAAATATTAAAGAAAAAAAGGGGGAACAGGAACCCAAAAACACAAAGGTAGAGGGGGAAAAAAAATTATTGCTCTTACGCTTTTCTAAAGCTAGAAATTGGCTCCAGATCACAGCGCTTGGACGATACAATGTCCATCTATGGATATGTACGTGTAGTGCTCTTTTTAGACATGTCTTTTGGCCTGTGGTCCACATTGTATAGCCAGCTGTGTATGTATGGATTGCAGCGCCAGCGATATTAAATGAATGTACACACAGAAAATAGTGCTCTCTATTATATAAAACTGATAAAATAAAAAAAGGAGATATACTCACAGTGGATGAGCAAGTAGGTATTGCTAAATTTTAAACAGCATAGGTGTTGTTCCACCTATGAATATAGCACCTATGCTGTTTAAGATTTAGCAATACCTACTTGCTCATCCATTGTGAGTATATCTCCTTTTATTATTTTATCCGTTTTATATAATAGAGAGCACTATTTTCTGTTTGTACCTTCTTTTCATATCGCTGGAGCTCCAATCCATACATACACGGCTGGCTATACAACGTGGACCACAGGCCAAACTACATCTTCAAAAGGAGGACTAGGACCACCTACATATCCATAGACTGGGATTATACCGTCCAAGCCCTGTGTTCTGGAGCAAATTTCTAGCTCCAGAAAAGTGTAAGTGCAATAAATCTCTTTTCCTCTACCTTTGTATTATACAATATACTTCACTATATTTGGATTCCTGTCCCCCTTTTTTTCTTTTATATTGCTCCCCTGGATCCTACAAACAAGGGCCTTAACCTGCAAAGAGCTTCTTCCCTACATTTCCTGTCTCATTTGAATATCTTGATAAAATAATTTAAAAAGTCTTGCAATGGCTCACAATTGCCAGTAACGGGGTGAAAATGGCACACAGGATGTACTCCTTATTGTGCTAGAAAGCCAGAAAGTCAACTACGATTAAGAAAAGATGTGTCCTTTTATGTTCTGTGTAACCTGTATGAACCAAATATATTATACATCTCATGCCCTCTTTGGTACTTTCTAACAATATCCATCTGAATTTCATATTTCCCCATAGGTTCTGCCTACCTGGAAGACTAATATTAGAATGAATCCAGTGAGTTAATTAGTTGCCCAGAAAAATTAAATAGTTGATAGTGATATTGTAATGTGAATTATAGCCTTGTTATAGCACAAGTCAACACTCTACATATACTGTATGTTCAATCCATCAAGGGTCAACTTTTTCCAAAACCAGAATCTTGGGTTTTAATGTATCTGTTGAAATTGTAATTTATCTATCTATCTATCTTTTTATTGGACTAAAATAATATTTAAAAGACAAGCTTTCAAGAGTTATTCTCTCTTCCTCAGGTGTAAAGCAATGAAAAGAGTATTGCTTCAGACCTGAGAAAGAGAAGATAACTCTCAAAAACTTGTCTTTTAAGTATTATGCTAGTCCAATATAAAGGTATCACTGCATGCTGCAATACTACTGGTTATTTTAGCATCTTGTCTACTGGGCTAATACGGCCAGTCTACATTACAATACATATATATATATATTGTAAAGAATTACATACATCATTTAATACATTTTGTAAAAGAATATGATCTACAAGGAGGCTAAGACAAAGAAGACATAAGGTTTTACAAAATGTTGGGGGTTGAGTTATGCAGTAGGTAAAGAATATGGAGGGTTAGACAGGTGGGATCAGCAGAGGATTAGAATGAGTTTTAGTTGGATTAATTATAAGCTGTTGTGAAGGATGTATTGATGACTGAGAGTAAGGGGAAAGCTGTAGGTTATTTGGAAGTGAGTTCCAGTGATATAGAGGTATTTCAAGAAGGATAAGGTTAGAACAGACACCGTTCATGGAAAGAACATACAGCCCTTGTAGGGGTGAATTTAGAGGAGGAATGTTTGGGGAACCAGAATACTGTAGTTAATTTTAATATTAACGGAGAAAGTGTAAAGGACCATTATAGTAGGATATTGGATAGATTGCAATAGGTTGAGTGAATAAGTTAATGTATTTATGCTGTGTTTGGCTTGTTAATGTGTTCCTCTTCTTATATAAATTTTGAAACCTTAATAATAGTCTTACACTATACTATATGTAGGGGTAAATTTCCACACCTCAAGTAACAGTCTATGCATCTGACAGTTTGGGGGATGCAGTTGGTATAAATATTTGCAGCTTTTTTTTGTGTTTAAAATGAAATATATTTTTGGGGGAGTGGCCACGACCTGGATGTAGACGGATGCGCTGAGTCAGAACTCCGGCGACGGCCAAATATAGCATGTTTCCACGCAAAGAAAGGGTATATTCCTCACTAAAAGAACGATCCAGCTCACCCGAAAGGATGGCGAGCAAATCGGCACGGAAAACCAAACATAAGACCCCCTCGTTACAAATCTCTGCCTTGTTCCCACTGAGCAAGCATGCCCAAAATGGCACCAGGGTAGTACACTCTCCTGCATCTGAGTCGAGCCGGAGTGACTTAACCTTGATCTCCCAAGTTGCAGTAATGCCGGTTGAAGACAGCACTCTCCACAAGATGCTGGAAGACCTGAAAGCTACAATAAGGTAAGACTTCCAGAAATTAGCCTCAGACATAAGGAAGGATGTGCAGGCTATCGGTGAGCGCACTGCCCACTTAGAAGATAATACCGAGGAGCTTATAGAGGCCCACAATACACTTGTTGATGCCTATACCAGCTTCACAGAAAAATTACACATGCTGGCTGGAAACAAAAGTTATTGATCTGGAGGATAGGGCCTGCAGGAACAATATCTGCCTGCGTGGCATTTCAGAGGAGGTCAAAGCACCAGACCTACAGGACTTTCCACTCCACATATTTCAGGTATTGCTAGTTGGGGATTTAGAGCTAGATAGGGCTCACAAGCTGATGAAGCCACAGATTTTACCGACAGCGGTCCCACGGGACGTTATTGTCCAGGTCCATTTCTCCGCTACAAAGGAGAAATTGATGCAGGCAGCCCACGATTCGACACGGCTAACGGGAAAATTTGCTGGCATTCAACTCTTTGTGGATTTATCCCCAGCCACCCTGGCCAAGAGAAGAGCCATTACCAGGGCATTGAGGGAGGCGCAGATTCCCTACAAGTCGGGATTCCCTACCGGTCTCATCATCCACCAGAACAGAGCAAATAAAGTGGTCCCAACTCCGGAAAAGGGACACATGCTGCTACCTCAAGGGAACATTCCCCTACAACTGGAAGCATCGCCATCCAAGGGCCCAAAGACAGCCTCAACTCGCATAACACGGGACTGGCAGAAGAGAGCGGCTGCACAATGACCTACTAACCAGGGCTCCGGGTCCCTCTGCATATGCTCCCCGCCGAAGGGCAAACCAGGTCGAGAAATTGGTGCAGTATAATTTCCCGTAACTAATTACTACCCATCTGAATCTTTTAGAATCTCTCTCTACCTACTTAACATCTATGTTGCTATATAATGCGATCTGGTCTGTAAAAAAAATAAAAAAAATATATATATATATATATATATATATATATATATAAACCGGGTTTGGGGGAACCTGTATACAGTTTGTCAGTTTTAACCATTGCACAATGTTTGTTTTTACATTTTGTTTAATTTTACTTTTTTACTACTATAGTACAATGTACAACCTACAGGATGATGCACATGTCCCCACACTACAACAGATAAATACCTTTCTAGACTCCACACACCTCCCCCAGCTGCAGGACCCAGACATATCTAACCTCACAAATTGACGGACTACGAACGCACATCAAGACCTTGCCTCTGGCCAAAAGCCCATGGCCAGATGGCCTGTCAGCCACATACTACAAAACCTTCCAAAATCAGATGGACTCCCACTTAGTAGACTAATTCAACCAGAGCTTTAACACTGGATCACTCCCTAAGGAGATGCTCCTGACACACATAGTTACTCTACCGAAACCGGGGAAAATACCAACCATCTGCTCAAACTTTAGACCGATTTCCCTTTTGAATACAGACACAAAGTTATATGCCAAAGTACTAGCAGATAAACTTAGCTCGCTCCTGTCAAGACTCATCCACTATAACCAGTCAGTCTTCATTAATGGACGGCAAGGGTTAGATAACTCCAGGCATCTCTTGAATGTGATCCATTGCCTTGGTGTGGACTCGGTCGAGGGCCTTCTCTTAGTGCTGGACGCGGAGAAGGCCTTCAAAAGATTCAACTGGCATTACATGAAGGAGGTGTTGGGACGATTCAGATTTCCACAACAACTCATAACAGCGATAATGGCGCTGTACACATGTCCATCGGCTAGTGTTTCCAACGCAAGGTCCATATGTCCTCCATTAGATATTACAAATTGAACTAGGCAGGGATGCCCCCTATCTCCCCTGTTGTTTATCCTTTGTTTAGCACCATTAGCATAATGTATACGAACCTCCCCTGATATCCATGGAGTACCAATTGGCGAGCGGACACATATTATCGCTATTCGCCGACGATATATTAACGATAACACGCCCTGAAACAACCCTTACAACCCTGATGAAGCTGTTGGCAACCTTCGGATCTCTTTCTTACTACAAATGTAATGCTAATAAGACTCAGGCTTTATCTATTGATATGCCCCGCATTAAACAACTATCTCTTTCAAAACCTTTCTTTGACTGGAGAGAGGACTATGTGGTCTATCTGAGAGTACGGATTACTAAAACATATGTAACACTAATCAAACACAATCACCTACCACTGCTGCAGGCATTACTGCAAGAGTTAAATAACTGGAAGGAGGTAAAAATCTCCTGGTCAGGACGTATAAATGCACTAAAGATGGGGTCTCTCCCCAAACTACTGTACCCCTTAAGAATGCTCCCGATTCCAGTACCAAAGAGCTATTGTGATAAAGTGCAAAATCTTTCATTTGGAACAAAAAAAAGTAGCAGGAGACACTTTGCAGAGGCCTTACCTGGAAGGGGGCATGGGAGTCCCCCTAGGTGCGGGTATACTATAAAGCAGCTCTGATGTCACAGGCCATCAACCTTCATGTACCCGATGGGGTGTTGAGCTGGATGGACATTGAACGAGAGCAGCTGCGGGGAGACTCGTTGCTGTCACATATCTGGACCCCACATCCATGCGAGCTGGGACTCTCCTGTTATACCCGACCAAACAGGTGACCATTTCCATATGGGACACATTTCAGAATAGAGCACACTCGCCTTCCAAATTCCACAGGATGGCACTACTGACTGCGCTGAGAGTGATATCTCTGTGGATATCCATGCGCCAATGGGAGGCTAGGGGGATTAGGAGCCTTTCACAATTTGTTTCTGGAGGAGCATTGGTCCCCTTTCCTGTCTTGCAAGAAACATTTCAATTGCCCTCAAACTTTAAATTTTTAAACCTACAAATCAAAAGTGTACTAATTGAATATGTTGATTATGACAGGGATGTCACCAGGGTTTATAGGGGGGATCTCCAACACCTACTGGCCTTTTGCTGGTCTACTCCGTTGAGGCCCAAACTCCTCTCCATCTTCTATAGAGCCCAATTAGCCGCCAAGACTGAGACCCCCATGGTCCTTGTAGCGCAATGGGAAAAAGATACTGAGAAAGCAGTCCCACAGAACATATGGCTTAAATGATTGAATGCATTGAGGGGCATTACCGGACTAAACTATATCTATAAAACTATCCCAGAGGTGTGTTAGAGATGTGGTTTGGCTAGGGGTACCATGTACCATGTCTGGTAGGACTGTAGCTGGATACGAACACTCTGGTCGTAGCAAAACTTGTGACATCCCTAAATTTACAGATGCCATTAGAACCGGAGGTCTATCTCTGGCTGGAGTTCCCACGCCAACTTACCTTCTATGGGAGGGCTCTGGTATCACATATCGCCCTCGCAGCAAGGGCCCTTATAGCCCTGAACAGGAAGTCAAACTTGTGTTTCTTACTGAGGCAATGATAAAAGATAGGGTAAACATTAACTACACGTATAAGCGTATGGCAATTCTCTCAGTAAATCTGAGTAAATAAAAACGATGAAAATATGGGAACCATGGGAGGCCCGATAACCGTCCTCTCCCAATTAACCAGTCCTCTGAACTAATTTTTTTTTTTTTTAATTAATAGATTTTTGTGTTTTTTTTCCGAACATACTCTTTATAATATCTAAGTCTGATGTGTAGTATGAAGGGACATACTACATGAGAATGAAGTAGCACAACCAGATGTCTTCCACAAAATGTATTCAAAGTAAAAGTGCATACAAAAAATAGGATACAGCAATAGCGAAATCACCTAATGCATTTTATGCTCCCACGGCACATCGTTGTAAGTACACAGGAAGAGACCTAAGGATGGTGAAACCTGTGGGATGACAAAGTCCCTTTAACTCTTATCCTCCCTTTAAAATCGCTCTACAGACTAATTTTGTAAAGTGGAATTTGTATTGAGGATTTTTGTATTAGCAGTGATGAAATAATAATAATTTGAAATGATGTCACCTGTTCACACTGTGCTTTATGTGCTCCTGTCAGGTTCCTTCATTGTAGAGTATGGTATCATTTGTGATTAAATTGCACACGGAAAGTGTTAACAGTAAATGTGTAAATTACTGCTGAACGAGAATAACTATCTGGGGAATTGTGATTTACTTGTCACAGCTAGCTGCTTGTTATGCACATTTTAAAAGGGGATTAGAGTTTATCTAATAAGATATATATTTTTGTAGAGTATAGATCCAATTCACAGTACTCTTGAGACCTAGCTGTATATACTAGTTTATTTCTACTACAATCAAGGAGCCAATGCTGAGTGGCTACAGAGTAAATGAATCATGAACAAAACTAGACTTGAACATGTTAATGTGAAGTTATCATCATAAAGCAAACATATTACATTTGTAAAACCGGCTAAAGATGTTTGTAATCATTGGCTTTAAATATTCTCCTTTTGCATTATTAATTATGTTAACTGTGTTCTATATTTTCTTCCACAGAGACCCAGCTCTGTCTTGATCATGTTGGTCATGCTTTTGAATGTTGGATTAGCCATACTGTTTGTCCACTTTCTCACTTGATTGCGATTTCTGCTGGAAAGGTAAATGTTAATCAAGTTGATTGTGTTAAGCCTAAAATTGTTAATTTTCAGGTTACATTACGGTTGAAAAATCCAAATCAGACTGTTGATTTAATAGTCACAGCAAGTCTGATACCACCTCTTCTTACTCAGAGGGCAAGCCTAGACAAAAAAGGACTATTTCAAGTTTTAGCCCCAATATTGGGTAGGGTGGTCTTAAAGGGTTGTACAACAGCTAAAGTGTTTTTGGAACCAGAGTGGGATGAGATAAGCAAAGTTTAACACCCCTCCACTACCCAAAATTGTTTATATTAATCAAGAGAGGAGAGATATTCTGTTGTCAAACTGGGCAGATTTCCCAGTTTGTGAATGTGCATTCAAATGTTTAAAGGGACACTGTAGGCACCCCGACCACTTCAGCTAATTGAAGTAGTCTGGATGCTGTGACCAGGGGCGTTTTAGCCGCGAGGCAAACAAAGCATTTGCCTTGGGCGGCATTTTCCAGGGGGGCGGCAAAAAAAAAAAGCCGCCCCCCAAATGCCCAGGGCAAATGCCTAGTTAGCCTCGCGGCTAACTGTCATGCTGGGCGCTGGGCGGGCGGCTGGCGGCTGGCGAAGGAGCACTTCCTCTGAGCTGACTGCTCAGCTCCCTTGCACGCCGCAGAGTGAGGCTGGGAGCCGGATTATGACGTCATCAACCCGGCTCCCAGTCTCACTCTGCGGGCGGCGCGTGAGGGAGCTGAGCAGACTGCTCAGGGGAAGTGCTCCCTCGCCAGCCGCCCGCCCGCCCAGCAGCCACTGGACCACCAGGGAGAGAGGGACCTCACCCCCACCCCAAGCATTGCCAAAAGTAAGGAGGTTGGGGGGGGGGTAAATAAAAAAAAATGTGTTATATTTTATATGTCTGTGAGTGTGTCTGTTAATGTGTGTGTGTTTGTTCGTGTGTGTGTGTGTCTGCTAGTGTGTGTCTGCTAATGAGTGAGTGTGTGTCTGTTAGTGTGTGTCTGACTGTGTGTATGTGTGTGTCTGATTGTGTCAGTGAGTGTGTGTGTCTGCTAGTGAGTGTTTGTGTGTGTCTGTTATTGTGTGTGTGTGTGTGTCTGCTAGTGAGTGAGTGTGTGTCTGTTAGTGTGTGTGTCTGACTGTGTTTGTCTGTTAGTGTGTATATGTGTGTCTGACTGTGTGTCAGTGAGTGTGTGTGTGTGTCTGCTAGTGTTTGTCTGTTAGTGTGTGTGTGTCTGTTAGTGTGAGTGTGTTTGCCTGTGAGTGTGTGTGTCAGTGAGTGTGTGTCTGTTAATGTGTGTGTGTTTGTTAGTGTGAGTGTGTCTGCCTGTGAGTGTGTGTGTCAGTGAGTGTGTGTCTGTTAGTCAGTGTGTCTGTTAGTGTGTGTGTTTCTGTTAGCGAGTGTATGCGTATCTGTCAGTGAATGTGTGTCTGTGTGTGTGTATATTTAGAAGGCTTGGGGGGGGGGGCTGCCTAGGGCAGCACAAAACCAGGATACACCACTGGCTGTGACCTTTTTGCACTTAGTGCTGCAATGTTAAACATTGAGGGCTTCCAGAACCCAAATGGACTTTTGGTCCATTATCTGACGCTGGACATCCTCATGGACCTCCAGCAACAGATTTACCCCATAGGTGGGGGCTATTAACCCTACGGGGGGTGAGGGGGGGGAACCATTATAGAAACTGGTTCACAGCTGTAGATAAATATTGCATAAGACTTGTATCCATCACATTTCTATGTGAAAATAAGTCAATTTATATTAAATATTTTATGATCTAAAGGATAGTTCTTTAATTATAAATGTGGTTTCTGTAGTTGCTGTAACATCTACTACTTTTATTGATTTTACTTTACAGAAGTATAACTATGCTGAATACTGCACACAACTAAATAATTGTTCTCTTGTTTGCAGAACGTTTAGACAACCAGAGATATTGACGCACAATTCCCGTCACTTGTGTCATAAGCCGTTTTTATGGCACCAGTCATATCCGGATACGGGGAAAAGGCGGCTTGGATTTAGAATTGGAAGCAAAGAAAGTTGAAACTTGAAAAAAATATTATATGTACCGGCCGATGGGTCTGTGATCATTTGATGGTGATTTATGGTTCTTGAGGTTCCTTGAAACACAAGGGACTTGGCCATGTTGGAAGACAAAGCAAAATCTGCTGAAACAGCTTATACGGAGAAGATGGTTACTCCATCTGTCCTAGAAGAGTGTGACTGGACTGGAAATGTACGGACCTGCACTTTTAGTTGATGGAAGCTAGCAGCTGCCTTACTATTTTGCTGTCTGACGTTTATGTGTGGAGATGGGGAAGTGGGTGCCAGAGGAATGTGGTCAGAGGATTCAGTTGCCTGGGATGTGATTCCAGCTTTTACTCCTATCTCAGAAGAAATAGTTTGCAGCATCACTCACCAGTCTTATTCCATTACCTGCTGCTTTTGCCATCTCCTGCAGAGTTCTGGAGGATAGAATTTCATTTGCTTGTGCATGAATGTTTATTTCTCTGTTTATTTAAATCTTAGCGATAACCATAACAGGTTGCCTCAACCAAAAGGAAGAGGCCAGGGTGTGGGGGTGGAGTGGGGAGCAGAACAAGTGACAAATCTCTTTACGTTTCCAGAGTAGAGCTTGCCACTTGCCATCAATCACTGTCTATTTTTGTACAGATACTTTTTACGTCTCCATTTATTAAAAATTCTCATGGCCTTTGTCTTCGTGTGGCCGGCAGTGTGTTATTTTGATATACTGTTGATCAGTTCACATCTTGTCTTCTTATTTAATCTTAACTTTGGCAAGTTCACCAGAAACAAATTACTGCATTTTGGTAATTAAATGCAGGGAGGATAATAAATAAAAACAAATCTAAGAATTTAGGACAGTGTTTTAGTCCCCACAGTTTTATACTGGTGTATCCTGTGTGCATATTTTTAACAATATTATATGCATACACACGCACGGCATGAGTGTATGTTATATATGCACCTGGATGAGTGTATGCATATCTGTGTTTGTACTGAAGTAATGTGAATGCATATATATATTTTTATAACATTTGTATGTATTCATATACTTCTATATAGGGATGTGTGTACTTGTTATATAAATATATATATGTGTGTAAAATAGTTATATTATATATATATATATATATATATATATATTTACACACATTATATAAACACAATATATATTATTCAAGCACACTGAATATATTAACAAACACTGAAAGTGTGTATAGAGTGAATTCTATACTTACACTTGTCACATTTAGCATAGCAAATTAAATTGTGAGAAGCACATGTGATTCAATGTAATTCCCTTTCCTTTTCAGGTTAATTTATTTTTATTTTTATTTTTTTGTTTTTTATATATATAATCAGTTTAAAAAGAAATATGATTGTTGAAAATATATTGTGTCTTAAATGGATTTTGAAATCCCTCTTTTACATGATAGTTTGACGTGCCATTGATTGCACAGCAGCATGTTTGTACACTTGCATATGTAGTGTGATTTGGTTTAAAACAAACAAACAAAAAATGTTAAAAAAAAAGCGATTTTAAAAGCTTTTTTTCTGGCAAAAAAGGGCTTGGATGAATAATACCACTCATCTCTGCAAGGCTTTCTACATTTGATCTTTAGGTTTATTTGTATCCATTTTAAGTAGTCTGTACGGCTTAGTGCAAACGCTGAATATTACTGGCATTAGAAATCCTTTGATGTGTCATATTAAGCATGGTGTGAATGTTTTAAGTCTAAAATAGGTTAAAACGGGGCAGAAAAGTGTTATATTTTTAAAGATGTTTCCTTCAAATCTCTTGGCGTGATAAGCTTGTAATATTGAGAAACACTGATTCAAAAATGAAATAACTTGTATATTTATTCAGATTTTGTTCTATATAGTTTTAGTAACAGAGTAATAAAACACTAAAGTGTTATTTAAAATTTTATATATATATGTATATGACTAATTTGCCTCCTGTTTAGCCCAGGTGCCTCTTTGGAGGAAAGTCTACATTTCTTACTGAAATATTAATTCTTATACATGTTTCCCATATTTTATTCTTTGGGTATAATTGTTAATGAACAGATTCTAACAAAATGTTTATAAATTAAATAACGCATGTTAGATTTATTTGTATGATTTATAAGCTTTTATAAAACAAAGCTGAAACAGAAATTGTTGGTATTTTTCTAAAATGTGCACAGCTGTATTTTACATAAAAAGACTATTTATAATTGGTTGTTATACCGCACACTACAATTTGGACAGAAAATTAAGTCTGCCAATGTACTTACCAATGTAATATTGTCTATTTAATTTTTTTATTTTTTTTTTTGCTGTGAAAAAGGTCTTTCTTTACAAGGTCCCTTATTTATAATCCTAATCCCAAAATGTTTAATTTACCGTTTTCCAAACAGTTCAGATCCAATAATAAAAAAAAAGTTCCTTATAAAACATGGTTGGTTGTATTTTTCTTTCTATTTACACAGAAGAATAACTGTACAAGGTGAACACATTTCCTCTCCAATGTTCACTACATATAATTTTTGAAACCATCAAAAGACCAGAAGCTATGTGGACCTTCCTCAGTACATGAGCTACTGTGCATATGCATTTTATCCCATTACAAGCTTGGGACAGTAAGTGGAACATGATTTTTGAGCTTCAAGTTCTTTTGTGAACACTATCTGATGAATCCATCTAGACATGGTTTTGTACAATAATACATTATTGTTAAAACTAAAATGGAAAATTAAAATTTGAATTCAATTGGAGAGTCACTTCTGGAAATTACACCATTGAAAATTACCTAAAACGTATATCATGTAATGCTCCATTTTCTTTAAAAATGTATTTTAAAGATTTAGCAAGTGACATCACAATGCATTTCAGTCCAGGCTCGGCCAGGGTACACTATGCAAAAGAGATGGGGGAACGTTCTTCTTTTCAACTACCGCTAACTATGATCGATGGTAGAAAAGATAATGACTATGGCTCATAGGGATCTAGGATGGAAACGCCCAGTTCCAGGATAGATGTATGGTTTTTTATTTTTCAGACCTCTTAAGAATATATTTTTCTAAATATAAGGGATATGTAAAGATGGTATTAAAAATCCTGAGCAGTGTCGGTTCCTTTTTAAATACTATATAAACATATATGCATCATGCAATACATTAATATATATATATATATATATATATGTTATTAGAAAAATATTCTTAATGCTATAATTACTAAGCTAATAAGATAACACAACTAATGAAAAAACAATCCTGTCTGGCACTTATTTACTATAAGCCTATGTAACAAAGCAAATATTTCTATAATGCACCTGCCGCACACTTGTGTGTTTCACCAAGCCAAAAATCAAACATGGTGCAAAATAAATAGATATAGGTGAACAAACTCTTCTTGTGTAAAACAATAAACATCAATGTTTTAATACCAGCAGTAGCGATGTATGTTTCTTTAAATTTCTCTAAGAATGTACATGTAAAAAAAATTATACAACAAGAATATAATGTCATATTGCAAATAGGAATCAGCTACCAGAACAACAATACAATGAATCCTACTCACATATATGGGACCTTATAAAGAAAAGTCCCTAAACTGTAGGGTCAACCCTTCATTTTTCTTTCTCCAAATACAGTATCCAATGCAAAAGATTTTAAAGGGATACTCCAGGCACCCAGACCACTTAGGCTAATTGAAATAGTCTAGGTGATGTGACCCTTTTGCACTCAGTGCTGCAATGTTTACATTGCAGCTCTAAGTCTACCTTCTGTGGCTGTCAACAGACAACTTTTGGTCTGTTAGGTCTCTTCCCCGCCCCCGGTACTGGTTTGTATATATACGTTTGACACTCCCTTCTCAAACACAATTCATTCAAGATCCAATGATGAAGTAATAAAAGCAGTTGATGCTCTAGAATGTAAGCTCATTGAGCAGGGCCCTCCACCTCTCTGTTCCTGTACGTCGAGTTGTCTGTTTACAATTAAATGTCTGTTAGTCCACCCTTAGTACAGCGCTATGGAATCTGATGGCGCTATATAAATAATAATAATGCTAATCGTAGCAGCTTACTTGAAACAAATATTAGATAACAATATACACTGATTCTCACTAACAGTGTTTGAAACAAATGCCAGTGGAAGCTGCACACCATGTTAACAGAACCATTCCCCAAAAAAGTGTAATTAAACCATATAGGAAGAATAAAAAGGCCTCTTCATAGAAGAATAGAATATATGTATAACATCGAAAGAAAATGTATGAAACATAGTGTAGCTTCACATTTTAATTTGTTCCATCATGGAAAACCCTCTGGGCTAAATTTTATGGGTATTCAACAAGTTTTTAAAAATTGTCGAGGGGGGGATTTTATTCAAAAACTGGGACACCCAAAAATGAGATGGATCGTCAAATTAAATACTACGATACAATATGGATTAAATAGCAACTTCAAACTGTGTGATTTTTTTATATATATATATATATATATAAGTGATATGAATATTTTACATCTTGTGTTTTTTTACTTTTTCTTTTGTCCCGGTACATTCAAGAAATTAGGTTTATATTAAAAAGTGCAAAAGCTTGATGAAATACTATTATTATTTAATTAATTATTAGGTATATTAAAAAGCTCTGAGTAAATTAGACACTGGAATTGGTTTTGAACATAAAAAAATGTAGGCATGAAATTTAACCCCTTCCCGACCACGGACGGAAATTTTCCGTCAACCTTGTCCTTCAGTTAAGGACCATTGACGGAAAATTTCTGTCATTTACTAAAGTTAACCCCAGATTGCGGCGTTAACGGTGCTCCGGTCTGCCTCTGTATTAGAGGCAGACTGGGAGCACCCAATCGGGCTGCCCCTGCAGCAGTGCTCGCTCTGACAGGCTCTGTCAGAGCGAGCACATGTGCTGTATATACTTACCTTCCACCTCCCTGCACTTCCGGGTTCTGTGTGAAGTGCAGGGAGACGGATCGGTGCTGCTGATCTTCTCCCTGTGTAAAAAAAATAAATAAAGTAAAATCCCCCCCCCCCTTTCCCCCTGCTTTAATACAATTAACCCCTTCCCTGTCAATTGATCACTGACTACAGTATAGCATTAATGTCAGTATAGCATTAATGTCATCTGATTTTTTTTTAACCCTTGAGGATTAACTTTTATTTTTTAACCCTCGTGGGTTCAATTTATTTAATTAATTTAAATATTTTATAATTATATATATTTTGCTAGCTGGAGTGGGTGGGAGTTATGGGAAAGGGGGGAATTTACTGTTAGTGCTGATTACTGCTAGTTAGGGGTTAACGGTAAAAGAAAAATTTAGAAAAAAATTTAAAAGTGTAAAAAAAGTTACGAAAGTGTAAAACATTTAATAAGTAAAAAAAAAGTTTAAAATCAGGTTTTTCAAAGTAAAAAAATACATTAAAAAATGCTCATTACCACTACACTTGGTACAAGCTAGCGGAAAAATGCTAAGGTTCAAAATATGCCTTTTGAATTTCCCTGGGATGTCTTCTTTAAGAAATGGTATGCCTTTATGGTGTAATTGGATTATATAGCCTTGTAAAATACTCTAAAATGGGACAAGGACACAGCGTAAAAATTCAAAGTTTGAAAAAAACTGGAATGGCTGTGTCTCAAATGTGCCCCTTCAATGTCCAAATATACGTGGTAAAGGTACATACGGGGGTATTGCTGTACTCAGCCGACATAGCTGAACAACATATGAAGTAGTATACAGTCGTAGTACACATAAGGTTTGCAAAATATACTGCGCAAACTCACTTTGTGTGTCAAAAAGGCAGAAAAAAATGCTTATTACCACTGCACTTGGTACAAGCTAGCGGAAAACTGATCCCACGCTAAGGTTCAAAATATGCCTTTTGAAATACCCTGGGATGTCTTCTTTAAGAAATGGCATGGCTTTATGGGGTATTTGGATTATATAGCCTGGTAAAATACTCTAAAATGGGACATGGGCACAGTGTGAAAATGTAAAGTTTGAAAAGAACTGGAATGGCTGTGTCCCAAATGTGCCCCTCTGATGTTCACATATACCAGGCAATGGTACATACGGGGGTATTTCTGTACTCAGCCGACATAGCTGAGCAACATATGAAGTATTATACAGTCGTAGCACACATACGATTTGCAAAATATACTGTGCAAACTCACTTTGTGTGTCAAAAAGGCAAAAAAACGCTTATTACCTCTACACTTGGTACAAGCTAGCGGAAAAATTATCCCACGCTAAGATTCAAAATATGCCTTTTGAAATACCCTGGGATGTGTTCTTTAAGAAACGGTATGCCTTTATGGTGTAGTTGTAATATGTAGACTGCTCAAGTGCTCCAAAGTGGGACACAGACGCATCAAAACCCTCCATGAAAATTCACACTTAAAAACCTTAACTTGTCACGTCTCTTTTACAGCACTGTAACTTAACAAAATAGTGTCTAGGTCATACATTAGGCATATTGTTTTACTCAGAAGACTTAGCTGAGCATAATTTGGGGGGTTTGAACTCAGTGGCACATGTGAAATATACAAAATGCCCAGCAAAAATGTAATCTGTATGTAAATAATGCCCAAAATAATTTTTTACCACATACTTTGGCATATATTGGTGAAAAAATGGGGGCATGTTAAGGAACAATATGCACCATATGAGATACCCTGGAGTGTCTACTTTTACAAATGGTAGGCCTTTGTGGGGGGTTTTTGAACAGTCAAACTGCTACAATACCCCAAATTGAAGCATAGGCCCATTAAATCCGCCTCTCAAAATTCTACTGTAAATGTTGAAAAGGACAGGTCTCCAATATGGCACTGTAGCTTCACAAAATAGTGCCAAAGTCATACAATGGGGGTATCGTTGTACTCAGCATAAGTAACTGAACACAAAATAAAACTTTGTACAGGAATAGCACACACAACTTTACAAAATATATATGAGAAGTTATTGGTTATAAGTTTGTGTGCCAAAATTTTAGATTGGCGGTGAAATGGCTACATAGAAAGTGTCAAAACAACCTTAGGACAATAGCCTGTGATGTCTACTTTATATAAATATATACTTTTGTGCGGCAATTTTGTTTTCTTTTATGGCTATTAAGCTTACAAGACAAACATACCAAATTCTAAAATCGCTCCACATTAAAAGTTTATTTTACTCCTTGTGCTTTGTGACCTGTAACTACCCAAAAAAAAACGTAAAATCCCAGACACATTATATATTCTGTAAATCAGAACAACTAAATGAATTTATTTTTAATTACTTTCTTTAACCTGCACTAATCAGGCACACATTATTATTATAAAAAACACAAAATATTTCTTTTTTTTTGCATTATTCTGTATTTTTTAATAATAAATAAGCATTTATATATATATATGTTACATCAAATTAAAGCCCTTTCTGTCCTTTAAAAATA